TCCAAATCGTGGGCTAGGATTTATCTGGGTACATTCAAAGATAATACAACACAACAAAGAAACAGCAAGTCAAACTCACTCCCAATTTGTAAAGGATATGCAATGTTTAATGCTACAAATAAAATATAATCGACATATGAATTAAAATTAAATGATGAAAAGCACTTTACTTTGGGGACATTTGATGTGTCACAGCCAGTCACAGGCTTAGATAAAAAAAAAACTATCCAACTACAATATATACAACTTCTCATATGATAAATACACTATACACAGCCTGGAATAACATTGTCTAGGTGTACTCAGAGAATTATAACTATCAAACTATGCGAGAACGTGTCTTGTATCGAATCATAGATACACTTTCGATATTTGGGGACACATACAAATACAGGTTGAAAACCACTGATATAGATTGATTCGAATTGAAGCTGTTAATTTGATTCTTGAAATAAAAAAATCTCTTTTAACACAATTTCCCCGCCATCGATTGATTTTACGTAATAAAAAGGAAACTATGTCATAATGCCATCACTATGTTTTATAATATATTTACTTTGATTACTTCAGTTTACATACCATTTAGAATATTTAATGGATGATAATATTAGAGTGATTTCGCACAAGTATTATGTTATCAGTATAAAACATTATGATTTTCAAGGGAGTAAATTGCTTTTAAAGGGACAATATGCAAAATTCTCAGTATCAAAAACCTGAAAATATTTTTTATACTGGTTTGATATTATGAGTTGAAACCTTCAGAATAAGTAAGAGACATATTTCTCTACAATTAGGCGTTTATTTTGCACAAATCTATGCAGTAGTTTTCTAACGCCTACCAAAGAGCATTAGCCTACGAACTTAAAAACTTAAAAAAAGTTTTTGCGTTTCTCTAGATTTTGGAGTGTAGTTGAGCAAACAAATTTTCGACCTTCGAATAAAACGGAATGCCCCTTTAATATTGATGATAAAACTGGTTTAAGCATCTCTGTTTTAAGTAATATTATAGTTATCAACAGGAAATGATTAACAAATAAATTTTGAGAGTTCAATTACTATCAATGGATATTGTTAATATCTGTATAAATATATTTAACATCAGAGTCTTTTAGTGCTGTCTTTTCAGATATGTTTCAGATATAATGCATCTCTGCGGTACCCAGAGACGATGGCGATTTGTTCCAATTTTCATATAGTTATGCTTGTTGGAATAACCTTAACTGAAGGGCAGCCTTTCATGTCCGAGGTTTGGACGCCTACAGTAGAACTTGTTACCAATGTTTTAAATGTGCTACAATGGAAGCATCTGACGTTTATACATAGTAACGAAAGACAGTGTTGGCCGATAGTGGAACAACTTCAGAAGTACTTCGACGAACAGAATATCTCACGAATTGTGTATAAACAGAGTGATTCATTTTTTCAAATTAACCTTTGGACTTCAATACATTCACAATTTTTCCCGCATATTCACCTCGTGTACATTTCCTGCTCTAGTTTACAGAAAATGAATGATATGATGCGAATCATTAATGATTTTGATTCCATGTCGAACAGAACGACAGACTTTCGAAGCAAATCGCAGTGGTTATTGGTCCGACCATCGCCTAACCAGAATGATGGATTGGTTGATAATTATGTTACAATTCCAGATTTATGCCACGTGGCTTTAATTCAACCGATACAAAACGAAAACTATTCTTGTGGGACAATTAAAACATTAACAAAAACTCACTGCGGAGGTATTTTCACAAACGTAAGGAAACCGTTAAGTAAGAGCACCATTTACCCTAACCTACGTTTCAAATGGAATAAACGCCATCTTGTTATTGGTACTTTACCATTTATTCTACTCAAGCGTAGAACAGAAAACAACCAATCTGTGTACTATGGAAATATGATGAAGTTACTTACTGCTATGTCTACATATCTAAATTTTACTTATGAACTAGTGGAACCAGTTGGTGAAATTTGGGGTACGGAGACTGCGAATAACACTTTTACTGGATTGCTGGGAATGTCTCAAAAACACGAGGTAGACATAATATTTGCTGAATTTGTTATCACCAACGAAAGACGAAATATAATGGAGTTTATTCTTCCATCAATGTTTACGACAACATTGGGTTTGATTTATAAAGAACCCGAAGGAGCGAGTCTACAATCGTGGGTTGCGATTTTCAGGCCTTTCAGTACTAACGTGTACATATTCTTAATGATTTCTTTTCTTTATTTTCTAACGATCTATATCATTATTGATGTTGTCATCCCTTGGTATTGCAACTGTTCTCAGATTGATGATGGATTTGGTATTCTATTCATAGTATTTGCACTTTTTGGGTGTTTAACCCAAGAAAGTATTGATATAAAACCAAGGACAAGATCAAGTCACATTTTGCTTATATCCTGGTGGTTATTTAGTATTGCGATGGCTGCTACCTATATAGCAAATTTATCTTCGCTGCTTCTTGTACCGAAAGTTGAAACGTTTAGTAACTTGGAAGACTTAATCAACGCTAACGATTGGAAATTCGGATTGCTTGGCCAATCTTCTTCTGCAACTCTTTTTGAAACCAGTTCTGTGCCATCATTTCAAGCTGCTTGGGAGAAGATTATCGAATTCAATCGAACAGATCCTGGTGTGTTGAGCGAAGATGTCTTTTTCCATGTGGACAAAGCATTGACTAGTAGATATGTGTTCATTGTAGTCAATCCTCTGGCTGTTCAAATGATATCCCACTGCAAGCTGAAGTATTCGAAATTTTACATCGCACTTCAATATGTAACCTTTGGAGTACCTGTAAACTCGCCCTTGAAGAAAGATATTGAACAGTTTATGTCTTTAGTATTTGAAAATAGAATTTACGAATATTCCCTAGAGAACCATACGAGATGTGAAAAAGAGGACAAAACGTCTGAAATTCAACCGATTTACCTGGGCAATATAATAGGAGCTTTTCTTATGTTGTTTGTTGGCATTGCTTTTTCCTTATTTGTTCTTATGGTAGAAATATGTATCACCAAATACAATCGTAATTAGGTCTACAAAGTTTAAGCACGGATTAAATCTACTCTAATATAGGGGTTAGACTGACTCATGATGAAGAAAATGGAACGACAACTCTGTGTAGTTAATGTATTAAAATTATATATTTACATTTGTTAAAAAAATTATAGTGGGGGTACGTATGGAGATGCAATCATTTTTCTAAGGGGTGTGGGGGAGGGGGTAAGTGCCACCGCTGCCATTTCATTTATTATGTGTACTACTATGAAAGTTCTGTATTAAAATGATTTTATCAGCTGTTTTGGATTGATATTGGCAGATTTTTATATCACGTTTCCCATACTGAAAAAATTACTAGTATTTTGTTTTTGTGTACATGAACCCACATTGTTACAGTACCATATTAATATAATATAGAAGTATTTTGTGACCCCTATCCGACAATAATTACTGGTGATAGAGACGTCTGTTTTTGAACCGATTTTAATGGAACTTGGTATGCTTATACATGTATATATTTACCATGAGAGTTCGAATCTCACAAATTTTCAATGAACGGCCTTTGAGTCATTGACAAGGAACGAGACATTGGAACAATATTGGTTTGTGATTCGATACAATTTTGACTAGATTTGGCCAAATCTCGCAAGCTTATGGATATTGATGAGATCTCCAATGAGATGATGAACGGTTATTGCGCTATATGCCAAGATAAGTCAGAATTGGTTTGTGAATGCTTTCTAGGCTTCAGTTTTGACTGGATTTGGAAGAATTTTGGCAAAATCGTTGAACAAGTTTGATGAGATATCGAACAATTTTTCGTTGTATACTGTGCTGGCTTGGAATATATTATCAAATTTAAATAAGTATTTGGGCTTGATTCAGGTGTCTTTGACTTCTGCTTAATTTTCTGCCCATATCTAATTCAGCTGAGAAATAAATATATACCTGTATTGTAATTACAATAGCACCATTTTATTATACAGTATGAAACAATTTGTACAATTTTGTCTGTAATTATGAAAACCAAAAATTTGAGGGAAAAAAATTAAAGGAGTTATCTTAAAGGGACAGATACGCCATTTTTGTTTTTTTTGAGAGGGAGCGGTGGATATATGTAAATAATCTAGAAATACCAGATATATACGAAAATCTCACAATTCCTGCTAAAATATCTCAAACTAGGAATTTCTTTTCCTATTTCTAGGCAGTGTCTCAAGAACTACTCGTCTTTTTAACTTTCAAACGCATAATTCTGGACGCAAATAAATTCAAAGACTCAAATTTCGACGGTGAGCCGTGAATACTATTACTTTTGTCTTAGCCAAAAAATCCCGTTACTGTGACCAAGGTACGACTGATCAAAAAAATGACGCAGCTATCTCTTTAAAGAATTTCTATGAAAACGACAACTAAGTGAACGTCTTTAATCACATGTTGCAATTTCAAATACCATTAAAAAAACTTGCGCATTTAACCTACTGTAAACATTAAAATAAAACACGATTACCAACAAATTTCAATCAAAAGATTCAAAGGAGATTCAAATCTGAGAATTGTTAATAATTTAAAGAATTAACAAGAGTAAATTTTAAAATGATTACTTGATTGTGAATAATTATAATACCCTTCTTTCTTATAAATTGCAATACAATACAACAACAACAACAAAATGTGAATTATCGTGGAAACTTGTTGTAACAATAAGGAGAATCAATATTATATCAAATACAAATGCCGAAATTGTAATATCTGACCCCGCCTGGGGTATCTAATTTTAGCGCCATGCCTTGAAAGTAAGTAAGACTTATCAAAGAGCAGAATATATCTATTAAATGTGTCATTGTGATGAACTTATGGATTTTAAAAGAATTTTCACCCAAAACCTGATCTTTTTACTCTGGCGGTATAAGAGGGTGATTTACACACTACAAATTGTTTACATATGGATCAAATATCAGCTTGTATGATATTATATTAGATGTATTTAAAAATTACAATAAGAAAATATTTTCTCTGTTAAAATAGTGCTCAATACATCAATTGAAGAGCTCTATTGAAATAATTTAAAATTACATAATTAATGAAAAACAAAATAGTTCAAAAGCCATTGATGCTGAATCAAATCATTCAAATAACTAACAATATGATAAAAATAATCTCAAAACCGTTAACTCAATCTCATCAAAATATTTCTACGATAATAAAGTAACAGAAATCAAATTAATGCAACAGGTAAATTTAGACCAAAATCATATGTACAAGGTTACGTTGCTGTTACTAACCTCAATTAATATAACACAAGCAAAACAGATATGCTTTATGATTATGCAATAATTGAATAAATAATCTCAAAAGCATTAATCGGCAAATATATTTCGCATAAAATCTCAACTCAAATTTCTGTAAATTTAAAGGACTGGTTCGCCAATTTAGGGAGTTGATTTGGTTCTTGAATCTAAGTAAATAGTCTTCAGAATACTAAAAATTTCGCTCTCTATTTCCATACATCTTTTGTATATATGGCAAGTTCACAAGGTGAAATGTGAACACTATTAGCCTAGCTAAATAATTCCCGTTTCTGAGACTAAAGTACCATCGGTCAAACGGATGGTGAGCCTGCCCCTTCATGTTACAAGCAAAGCTTTCATCTTAAATCAAAATAAAGTTCTACAGTGGTCATGAAAAACTAAAATTAAAAAAAAGAAACAACATAAAAGCAGATTCTAAAATCATCCAGACAAGACTTAAATTTTGGCAAATAAAATCAAAAGAAATCTCTTATACATTGCTTCATTAATATCTGACATTTACTTATACTCCGACAAAACATTTTATTTTGTAAGGGTTTTAAAGTGATACTACGTGTTAGAATGAACATAAAATTAAAGTTCTCAAGAATGGTCAATATGATTATATATTCATCAGTCAACTTACCTTGTATCATAAAGTTACAACAGAATTCCCTGTAAAATCTGGAAAATTCATAAATCTAAGTAATTACTGAAAAACCTTATTCTTAATAATATTAAGCGTTTTTCAATACTTAATTGCATATTTATGGATACTTACTAAGTTTTGTGGATTTATCAGATTATATAAAGATCCTGTTATGTTATTTATGATACCAGGTATATCTACTGATGAATATATGCTCTTATTGGCCAAGTTTAAAATTATTAAATTCCATTCTATAGTGAACTCTTTGGTACATGTAATACGTTCCTGAACAATCTATGAATAAAGTGTTTAGTGTAGAAGTAGTAAATTTTTTAAGTACTATCTGATTTTCACATTATGCAAATTTGTACTGAAAACCAAGAAAGTTTGGCTTCAAGATTGTTTTCAAGAGAAGATATGTCAAGTGGTCACAAAAATGACAATGATGTTCATTTATGATGACATGTCAGGAAAATCCAACTTTTATTTTACATTTATTGAAAGTATCATTTATTGGAATTATCTATCAGGTAATCCAGGCATGGGAAACTTCTCAGCAAACACCTTAACTTCTGCTTTAAGATCTTCAACTCTCTTCTTTACTTCGGGATCAGTCACAACAAATTCTTTAAAGTCCTTCAGTTTTTCTAAAATTAAAACGCAAGAGGTTTTTGATAACTATTTACAGACCTAAATGAATGAATGTGTGTACACCCTTCAAAGGAAGTAGAAGTGAAATTTCAACTGTTGTTAAATTCCAATTCCTTGTAGGGAATTTGAGTCTAAATGGCTCTCTAGCACTTCGAACTTAAGAGATTTAGATTTTGTTCAATTCTGTGCCAAGATGAATTTTTATTTAGAAACTTTCCATGTCACAGCTTAAATCTATCTCAAAATATGTGGATGATGCAAATATACGAGAATCTAAGATGCTCTATTCAAAACAAAGCATGTAACAATTTTCGCGTCATTTCCCCATAATGTTTATCAATAAAAATGAGGCATAAGGCTGAATCTGTATTGATTGTCTGGCTTTAGAATTAAAAAGATTCATATGTTCTTTTTGAATATTAATTAAGCACCATTATACAAATTTAAAAGTTACAGAAATTCATAAATAAAACATGATATCAAATCTGGATACTGGCAAATAACACAAATAACAAGTAGTAATAGTATATCATAAGTATCAAAACTGGTAATATATCACTCAGTAGGATTTCAAAGGGTTTACACACATGATATTTGACAGTTATATTTCGACCACATTTTAACATTATCTTGGATCTTATGGATATACTTACTAGTTTTCTGTTGAGCATACAGACCAATTTGTACTCCTTTATCTAAAAATTCAACAACTTTATTGAAGTCAGATTCATTTAATCCACGAGAACTCAATGCAGGTGCTCCTGAAGAAAATAAAAAAAATCACATAGTAAATGCAATGTTTAGAGAAAGGGACTGCTGACTGAATGATGGACTGAATGACATCCAGACTAACTGAACACAAGCACTTGGCCTGGTAGGAATTTGAAATTGCTATACAAGACTAATAAAGAACAAGACAGCCAACTATATGTCAAAGAAAAAAGAATTTCAACATGTACTTGATACCACAATCAGTTATGTGATTTGCCTTCATGCAGTTTTTAAAGTTAGCTGCCTTTGGATTTTGGTGAATCTCTCTTGGCCATGAAGACCTCTCTTTAAAAACCTTCATCACTTGATTAAGGATGTTCTTTACAGTGCAACTTCTGCTTTTATAAATATTTCTCTTTAATAAATTCAATTCATAACTAAGATAATATTGGTGTGAATGTTCCTACCTAATCTTAATCCACCAGGGGTCATAGCACTCTTATCACCAGCACAGGTGTTTTTATTCACAGTAATATTACACAGTTCTAATATTCTCTCTATTCTAGCACCATCTGTTCCTTTTGGTCTTAAATCAACTAGGACTAAATGATTATCAGTTCCACCTAACAGGTAATTAAATTCTTATCAATATTGGTACTACAAATGTAGATCACACAAAAACATAAAATCACACACAAAAATCAATGAAAAAAGATGAATTGTATATAAAAATGGATCATTAAAAGGGGTGTTTTTGCCAAGCACTGACCATCTTTAACATTTACGAATTAAAATGCTTAGTTAAATGCAGATTTTACCATACCAATGTATGACATCTTCAAAATAAATGATTACCAAAAAAATGTACTATCCTTCTTAAAAAAAGATGTGGTGATATGAGAAGAACTTTGATTAAAATAAACACACTCATACCTGATACAACCTTATAATCATGTTTTACTAAGGCTTCAGACATAGCTTTAGCATTTCTTAATACCAACAGTTGATAATCACGATACTCGGGTAGCTGTGCCTGATGATGATAAAATGAAATCATTATGAAATTAGGAAGAAAAGGTGCCTTAATTAACATATTATTATCCATATTGGCACAATGTTGCTTTTTATCCTCTCTTCTAAGTCCTTTCCAGCTGTCAAGGTGTATCACCAATGATGATTGTCAAGATCATGTTCGAGTTGTTAAAATACCAGGATTGATGCCTCATTTAAAGATATACTCAACATTTTATGGAATTGATAGACTATGCATAAGTAGTTTCCTATATAAAGTACCAAGTATAATACCTCTAATAAAGCAGTAGCTACACCAGCTATTTGATGTTCATGAGGACCACCTTGTAATGCAGGAAAAATAGCGTTATTAATTTTCTTCTCCAAATCATAGTCTATATTAACTCCTGTTTTAGGATGAACACTTTTAACGCCTTTTCGGTAAAATATAAATCCAGACCTACAATGAAAAGAGTCTATTATTGAGTTTTCATTCTTATTAAAGGTACATATTTAAAAAAAAGTCCTTCGAAGTTCTCTTGTAGTGATACAAATTTTCTTATAATATTATAGTAAAAATTCCTCATACAAAGCAATGACCATTGTCCAATGGGTGATTTAGGCAAGTTATTTCTTCATACTGACTGTTAACATGTATGAATATTCAACATGTAAATGAATATTCATGGCAAGTTCATGTAATGGCTTCGCGCATGAGCACATCTTTTAATATTGTTACTTCATGTATTACCCCATGGAGTGAAGACGTACGGCTGAATAAATATATGAATAATAGAATGTATTTTAATATATACGAGTTTATATAAAACTTTTGAGTTTATCCAATATATTGGCTTTGAGAAAAAATAAACAGAAAGTTTAACCTTTGAAATGAAAATAAAATGAAATATATACTGAATAATAGTAATATAATTAAAAGTTAACCTTGTGTGACGTCACTAAGTAACAGCCGGTCCAGTATATAAAGATGAATTATGTGGCCGGTAAACCAAACAATAGGGTTGAAAGACTTAAAAAAAATTAGCTATTTCATTCTAAACTGTGGTTACAAGTATACAAACCTTGGTCCTCTCAATGTTTTATGGGTAGTAGAAGACACTACATCAGCATAATCAAATGGACTAGGTATGACATCAGCTGCTACTAATCCAGAAATATGTGACATATCAGCTAACATTATAGCTTTACTTTCATCACAGATCTATAATACATAATAGTATTATCATATGATTTGACAGTGACAGTAATTAAAATGAAGATTGCATAAAAAGGCCATAATCTTCTCGTCATTTCCAATTGTGCATTTTTCGTTAGTTGTAGAAGCTTCATGTCAAAAATGTATACACTATAAGGATAACGTAAAATTAAGCGTTGGTCTACCATGTGTGAAAGCAAGCATTAGATGATTACATACTCTCAAAAATGGAGTAAAAAATCTCATTTGTACATACCTGTCTGAATTTTTCATATTCTAATAATCTAGAATAGGCTGTGGTACCAGCTATAATTAACTTAGGACGGAATAATTTAGATGTTTCTCTTAATTTATCATAATCTATGTATCCTGTAACAGGCTGAAATACAATTACAAACAGATTAAACAGGCTGAAATACAATTACAAACAGATTAAACAGACTGAAATACATTTACAAATGAATTTAATAGGCTGAAATACAATTACAAACAGATTAAACAGGCTGAAATACAATCACAAATGAATTTAACAGGCTGAAATACAATTTACAAACAGATTAAACAGGCTGAAATATAATTTACAAACAGATTCAATAGGCTGAAATACAATTTACAAACAGATCTAACAGACTGAAAAACAATTCACAAACAGATTTAACAGACTGAAATACAATTTACAAACAGATTTAGGCTGAAATACAATTTACAAACAGATTTAACAGGCTGAAATACAATTACAAACAGATTAAACAGGCTGAAATACAATTTACAAACAGATTTAACAGGCTGAAATACAATTACAAACAGATTTAACAGGCTGAAATACAATTTACAAACAGATTTAACAGGCTGAAATACAATTTACAAACAGATTTAACAGGCTGAAATACAATTACAAACAGATTAAACAGGCTGAAATACAATTTACAAACAGATTAAACAGGCTGAAATACAATTTACAAACAGATTAAACAGGCTGAAATACAATTTACAAACAGATTTAACAGACTGAAAAACAATTTACAAACAGATTTAACAGACTGAAAAACAATTTACAAACAGATTTAACAGACTGAAATACAATTTACAAACAGATTTAACAGGCTGAAAAACAATTTACAAACAGATTTAACAGACCGAAATACAATTTACAAACAGATTCAATAGGCTAAATACAATTTACAAACAGATCTAACAGACTGAAATACAATTTACAAACAGATTTAACAGGCTGAAATACAATTTACAAAAAGATTTAACAGGCTGAAATACACTTTACAAACAGGTTATTTACAATGTTCACATATGTATCAAAAGCTACATTTATAGATAATAATCTGGATTGTTAACAGATGTCTTAGATGTGCATTCACAGCTGGTACATTACACTAAAAAGACGATTTATTGGAAAATATTGGACAGAGTGAAAGAATAAATTCTGAACTTGTGATTTCCATAATCATTAAAGGATACATCATTTTATTTAAATAAACGCAAGCACATATTAGTTGTAAAGAATGTTTTCAAACATGAGATTCATTTCTCCTTTTCTTTTTTTTGGGCTATTGAAGGTGGGCCATGAGGTGAATTCCTAGCCAGGAATGGAACAGAACTGAACATATAATAACGAAGTAAAATCTACATATGTTATAATTCATTCTTGGATTGTCATATTTGAGATATATGTCTTACTCACTGAAGCAGCAAGTTTTGCCTTGAGTTAAATCTAAAAAACTAAACTTACATTGATTTTGTATGGCATTGATTCAAAAAATATTGATGTTGCTGAGACTCTTTTAGCATCTGACATAAACCCATGTGTTAAACTGAAAGAAATATGATATGCAGTGAAAAACAGGATAGAACAAAAATCAAGTAGCGAGGAACTTTTGAGCCAGCAGGTTCTTGGTCAAACTCCTCGAAATTGATCAATCTTGGATCATCTTTTCCTATTTACAGCTGGGTCATCTGGGCTTAATGAATACAAAGTTGCACCATTTAAATTACAAAATAGAACTCTATGGTTCACTGCAATTCCACTAAAATTAAGTGTTTTATGGCAGCATATTTGATAAAGTATATTTTATGATTAGTGATGTGTGATGTCATCATATACTTATTTTAAGTAGGATTGCAAGAACCACAGACGTCTGTTTGAAAATTGGAATGGTGCAAATATATGCTATCAGTGTCCCTGATACACACAAAAATCAGCAAAACATTTCACAGCATTTAATCATTTTCTACTAAAGAGAAGATAAAACGTTGAAAAGCAGACATCTGAATCCAAAGAAGTTTACTCCAAAAGTAAGCTCCATTTGATCAATTATAAAAATTTCACCAATTTCATCATTTAGGATGTGAAAAAAAGTAAAGAACACTTACTGTCCTCCATCAGGTAAATCAAGACCCATAATTCTATCATGAGGTTGTAATAAACCAGTAAATACAGCAAAATTAGCTGGACTACCAGAGTAAGGCTGAACATTTACACCCCATTTCTCAGGATCTAATCTAAAGGTTTCCAGGGCTCTCTTCTGACATAGCCTTTCCACTTCATCAATATGTTCATTTCCTCCATAATATCTACATTAAATACAGAATATTACCCTGGTAACTAATATCTCATATTACACAATATATCGTGGGTGACCGCTTGAAACCTTGTATAACGACATATGACGTGGAATTACTTTTCGAGAAAAATGCAAAAAAACTATTTTCATGTGTGTTTTGTTAAAATCGAGGTTTTCATTCTTTGAAAATATGAACCTTGTATAACAATTTGAGATCTCCGGCCTATTGAACCAAAAACTCGAATAATTATACAGTATACAAGGTTTTTCATTTTCATCCGCAGAAAAGGATCATTGAACCTCGTGTAATATTATATTTTGACAGGTTTTAAATCTGTCTATATACGTGTTATTTAATTAGTGCTTTTTGAGTTATTTACAATCAAGCTAAGAATACGAGGATTTGATCACAAGATCCGCGCTTTTACGAGCTTATGAACAGTACCAAAAAGTCAAAATGACCAAATATGGCATATACGAGGTGTCAAGCGGTCACCCACAATATGTTTAGGGGGTACAAACAGCAATAATAGTACTAGTACAACAAATTACAATTGCATTCTTGTGTATATGTCAAACTTCCATTGGCTGTTTAATAAAAAAACCCAGCTTGACATTTCGGAGACTATGACCTCGGGAAACAAAAGGCATTTGTTAGCAAACTAGCTATCTACAGAGGCTGCTGTGCTTAAATCAGTGTGTTTCTGGACTGGACTCAAGCCCAACATTTGTTTTTTTGATATCTTTTTGTGTTTCATGCAGATATTCCCTCAACCCTTCCTTAAACTATAGAGCTCTACCACATATCGATCAAGGCCTAAACATAAGCTGAGAGAGTAAAATATATCTTCATTACTATCTTCAAACATGCTATTGAATGATTCAATGTATGTAACTGTTACAATCTGCACTCGACCTATTACTATTACACACTATCACACAAACATATCCCACTCTATAACCTAGTAAATAACATTAACACTATTTACCTAGCTCCTGGATAACCTTCAGAATATTTGTTGTTTAAACATGATCCTAATGCTTCTAACACAGCTCGACTTGCAAAATTCTGTCAATAAAAAAGATTATATAACTAGGACTGCATGCTACCAACCAATAATCCGTAAAAATCCAAATAATTTGTAAATACTAAATTAAAAACAGTCTTAAATTCTTAATTTCATGGTTAATTTTGTGTCATAGAAATATATTCTTGTTTCCATCTCTTATTATAGCTTATTGTGGGTAAGTTATGTGTTAAAGGAAACTATGTGGAAGGGATATAGTAGAGAAAATGTAACTTTGACATATAATCGATTATGAAATTTGTTCATTGAAATTATAAATTCCTAGATGATAATTGATAATTTCAATCATTTTAACCAACCATATATATAACATAAACAAAGTAAAGAATATGCCAACTTCAGCATAAGGAATATGAAATAAGGAACACTTAAAAACAATAAAACACTTGATCTTTATCAGTGCAGATTTCAAGGGGGAAGTATACAATTTCCTTTTTAAACCCTGAACTCTGAATATCTCCTATAAGTCAAATAAATTATGTTATTCTATAACAAACATAATAATATGGAGTGTCTTGCGCTACTGATTCAGCTACTGATGTCTAGCAACAGGAAGCAATGTGCAATAATAGGACAACAACATCAATTGCTTTTATTTTTTTTTTTAGCCAAACTGGTTCTTTAAAATTAAGGGGCAGGTGGGCCATTTTCAGGGGTTTATTTGAGTCTTGAATATAATGTAATAGTCTTCTACTAGAAATGTACAAAAATCACACAGTTCCTTCAAAAATACATCAAACTTGGAGTTTCACTTACTATTTCCATATATTTTCTGTATATGATAGAGAAAGTTAAAAGACGACATCAAGCAAGGATAATTCTGGACACATGGATTGGAAGACTAAAATTTCAACGTACTTGTATATAGTATACTATATAGTGTACCGGTATATTATATTTCTAGTAATGTTTTACAAGATCTAACCTAGTTTTCACTGGGTCAGTTCGGGACCTAATTTTAGAACAATCCATTTAGATAATATAACAGTTTTCACACTTTGAGAGACTAGTTCATGTCACTATTATATAACAGAATATATTTTTTCATGGTGACATATTGTTTGTTGGAGAATATGACAGCTTGTCCGACACAAAAACATACACATACGTTTAATGGTGATTTATAGTTTTGCTGACAAATATGACAGCTTGTCAGACAAAAAAATATACACAAACTCGGAAGCTCCCTTAATTCAAGACATTTTGTATGACATAATTTTGTATGACATTTATATATGTATGACATTAAGTTGCATAACATTTGTGTGTTAAAGGTTTCTGTTATATAACTCCTGTTAAAAAATTACAAAAAATTTCTTTGTTAAAAATAAAAACTTGAATATTCAGTGATTTTCCATACTATAATATTATTTAAAATAACAGCTGTAAATTTCCATGCTTGAGAATATATTAAGAAATAATCATTTTACCTCAGAAGCAATTAATTCTAAACCATATGTTTGTCTGTATTTTTCTTTATCTATAATTGACTTTAATTCAGGATCACTTTCAGATAGAGGTTCATTTCCTGTCCACAGGCTACGACTGTTGATAGTATCAATAAATCTTGAAGTCACCTAAAAAAAAAAGGAAAATCATCTGAATGGGACGTTTTTTTGAAAATTTCAGATATAAAGAGCCCTCAACAATCCAATTGGCGTACCAAGTTACATCCAAGCACACAAAACCTCTAGCTTCTATCATGTTGATAAGCTAATTTTGATAATAAATTTTGGCAATAAATGACAAAAAAAAATTGGAACATATATCAAATTCAAAAGTTGTTCAAGAACTTGTTATTCTGGTTTTGAAATTCATACAAAATTAATCTTATTCCAGCTGTTATGGAGCTTACTAGAATTTGGACAGAAAGACAAGGGAAATGTAGCTTTCACAGTCTTTTAACAAACGTTATGTTTCAGTTTTCAACTTTAATAAGCTGAATTTGAAAGGTGGTGAATTTTATTTTCATGGGTGCATTTAGTCTAATACTTGGCTCACTTTTTAACAAAAATATGCTGAGTTAGTGTACAATGGAATACAAAGAATCTGAAAACATGGTAGATCTTATATCTGCATGTATTTATTGTAATTATAACGATAGAAATGTCCATTATTACTTATATAATACACATTTGTATTACAATATGTTACATAGTAACACATTATAACGGTACTGATGCAATACACGTTAAGTGTATGGTAAATATACCGTTATAATCGTTACTGTATATTACTTTGTTCCAAAATAAACAAATTCACGTGTTGACGTGGCATGTACTACCAATATGTATCATGAAAATTAAGAAATTATTAATCAAAAGTTTTAATTACCCGTGCAGCTGATGAACACCGACTTGCCAACATCGTCGCTGAAGTTGAACCTACTATTAGTGACCTGACATGACACGCTTATTGTGTCAAGGATGATGGCCATGTGGCTCTGTTGGAGGAATTTTTTGGCGACAAGCTGAAGTAGTTGCCTCCCTTTAATTCAACAGCTGTTGTCTGTCAAGACAGTTAAACTTGTATACACAGGACACTGTATAAATTCGAAGCAAGAAGGTTATCTTGACCTTTCTATAGTTCACCCAACATCTACCCTTCACTTAAAATTGCTTTTGTTTTCATATATGAGTAAAGGCTAAATCAAAGCACAATTATGCCAACTGTTCATTTTTCAAAGCAAACTTCTTCAATCAGGGAAGGTTGCCATCGATTTCCACATTCACAAATCAAAGTCAAAGTATGATCAGATGCAAAATGGAATTTTCAAAATGGCAGACAAAGAAGCCAACTCTCTCTGTCAATCATTAATTAAAGATTCTTCAACAAAATCATAACAGAATGAATTTTCTTTAATGAAAATACAACAGCATAATAATATGATTCTCTATGTACAAATAACAATGTAACTATACAATAACAATAGAATTATGTATACACAGAAAAAAAGATATTTGCACATCAAGAAGTCGAGCTTAAGCAATCTACCACTAAAAAAATATTCTTTGTAAATGGTCTCTGATGTTCTGAATTACCTGCTGATGGATACTATATGTATATATGCAATCATAATTTACACTGGCCCTGGCTGAATGCATGCATAAATCTATTAATAGCTTTAAATATAGACCAAAATCAATAGTATTAACAATATTCTTTATTTGGAGTATTATCATTAAATGCAAGAGCCAAGAGCCAATACAAATGTATTCATTCAATCTGCAGTTTGTGTTATATGAGATAATAATACTTCTTGAATTCAAATTAGTTTTGAGTATTATGGCCAACGGAATTTGTCCAGTAAATACATATATTCTATTATGCTTTGAAAACTTTAATTTTCATTACTTATATATACTCTTATCTTTATTGTCAGCCATAATATTCTCAGCTATTCTCCATTCCAGGACTGGCCATTCCAGGACTGGGAGCCATGGTGGCTCAGTAAGACACTTGCTCTCTTCAGATTTTTCAACCAGCCTTTCCCCTATCCGTGACGCAGATAAGAAGGGCTGACCTGGAAAAAGCATATTGTCGTTAGGATGGGACGATAAACCAAGGCCCTGTGTGCTACAGGAAACTGAAAAAGAGCAGGCTAATGCCGCGGTCCTGGAAAAATTTCCCTCATAGCACAATGCATGGCATTGCCCGTCTTCATTCCAGGACTGTGAATGGATGAGCTTTCTATTGAATAGTCATCTTCAACAAATATATTTGAGATTCCCAATTTCATGAAATTAGATTAAAGTGATCAAATAAACCAATGCTTAAAACAAACTTTTGCAAATTGAAATCATTGTCAATAATGTTGTTAAGGGACAATGCTAATTGATCATATTTTTCAAAATTCAGGTCCTCTTCAAGGACCTGTAACCATTTCAAAATTCCCAATCATCTTCCATATCAATACTCTCTAATTGATCAGCTAACTGTTCTGCTACAGAATCATCTGAAATACAAAATATTTAAAGCTATAGTCATTAGAAATGCAATTATAAAATTCTTAATGCAATTACAAAATTCTCAAAACTATAGTCAATGGAAGTGCAATTACAAAATTCTTAACACAATTACAAAAGTCTCAAAGCTATAACAATTGGAAAATTACAAAGTTCTTAATGCAATTACAAAATTCTCAAAGCTAAAGAATGTGGGAAACTTTACATGATGTCATTTGCTTAAAACAAATAAATGGTGGTTGGGAGGTTCTAATCTCAGTCTACATGTGAGAGTCTGATGACCTTGAATAAGTCATCATCCATCATTATTCCCGTAGACCCAGCTGTAAAAATGTACCATTAATCTTGGAAAGATCAAGGCCAAGAGGTTTGGCCAAGGACCAGCTAGTAGAGAGGGTCCTAAATGAACCCAATTTATTATTTTTAAAAGAAATCGGTGTTTCTTTCTTTCTATCTTTTCATGTCAGACTCTTCAAACTGTATGACAAAAAAAACAATTGGAAACCAGTGTAAGTATTTGTGAAATTCCAACTTGCTGTGATTGGGCCCTATAATAATCATATTGCAAGTATGTAATTGTAGAAGAACATAGTACAAACCTTTTGGTAATTTACTAATATCAGTTAAAGGTGTAACAGGATGTAGTAATCCAGGTAAAATATCACATGTTCTCTTATTTAACTTCTTAAAGAAAGGATGATTTAATAATGCTGATGCTGTTGGTCTGTAAGATGAAAAAAGTAAGGTCTCAGCTGCATATGTAATCATATCAAATTTGATTCCTAAAATGATGCTCATGATAATGATGTGAACATGACCAAAAGGACTCATGAACGTGACTATCTTACAACAGAAGAGAACATTCAATATGAATCAAAACAATAATATCATCATCAAATCATCACAAGATTTTTGACTCATTTAGCAATCATTTGAGCTGAACCAATCTGACTTATAGAGATGATGTTAACACAACCAATTTGACTCATAGAGATGATGTTAACACAACCAATTTTACTCATAGAGATGATGTTAACATAACCAATTTTACTCATAGAGATGATGTTAACACAACCAATTTGACTCATAGAGATGATGTTAACACAACCAATTTGACTCATAGAGATGATGTTAACACAACCAATTTTGACACACTGCAATGACATGATCAATATGACTCATAGTTAAGACCGTTTGCTTATCAAGGTAGATAGGATTAATCTTTTGAAACAAACCTTAGTTTGGGATCTTTCTCAAGGCAAAGAGAAACAAAATTATGGAAATGTTGAGAAAATGTTCTCTTAAATATGGCATTATCTGCTTTTGTTTCATCTGAAACTGTCTGACCTGAAAAATATGATATCAAGAGTGAGCTATAGGTTTTTGTAAAGTTAAAGAGAAGGATAAATGCTAAACATTTCTTAAATAAAACATTGACTATATTTGAGATAGGACCATAATTTAGATGAAAAGTGCCATAAAAATGTCACAAATTGCTACAAAAAGACAGATATATACATTTCTTTTAACTTTTGTTGGTCATGATAAAAAAAAATTTTGAGTGTCACAAGTAAAAATTAAAGTGAAGTTCATGTAGAATATTCAACAAAGTGCCAATTCTTAGTGATTTTATAACAAAATAGAATTTAAAATACCATTCAGATCATCTTCTACAACAAAATCTTCTACAGTACTAGAATCTGCTAATATTGGTTTAGTTCCATTCAACTTTTCTAATAACATCTGCAAATATTAAATTCATTAGATAAACAGGAATTTTCTTAAATAATAGTCAAAATTTCAAAGGGCTATTAGTTCAGTGAAGACAAACTACAATGAATTGTTGAGCTGGAATTCAATCTTTCAGTAACTGTAGTCACAAAGCATGCTATGCCAAAAATGTCTGCAAATAATGATATTAAATAAAGTACCTACCTGTGTAGCTGGCATATCTGAGAAAGGTGTCTGTCCATTACCTAACTCACAAGCTGTTATACCTAGACTATATATATCTGACTTAGTATCATATCCAGCTAGATTCTATAAAACATAAAGACATAAATAAACTCCATCAGATTGGAAAGAATAAAAAATAACATATATATATATCTGTACTAATACCTGAACATGAAAACTTTATAAACTCTAATCAACACAAAATGAGCTCTCGAGAACAAAACTTAGTCCGTAGACAAAATAAAACACAATACCTGTTTCAATATTTCTGGACTAAACCATTGTAGACATTGGACAGCATTTTCAGGATAATCATGGACTAGTTTGTATTTTTTACCTCCCTGTATCATAGAGTAAGCATACTGTAAACCTGATAAACAGACTTTACCACTAGCTCCTATCAATATATGGGCTGCTTTAATAGACCTAAAATAGTAGAGATCATGATTTAGTAATTCATTTATTTACAACATTAAAGCTATCATGCCTTAACAGGGATATATCTAATTCAGAAAAATAGTACTGTAACTGGTCACTAAACTTGTAGAAGTTAAGGCTTATTTTCATTACCAATATAAGTTGATTTCCATTTTTTTTTTGGAGTGAAATGGTTGGTAAAAGATTTAATATAGCTTTATTGTTTTGTTAAGAATTTTGTCTTACCTATGTATAATTCCTCTACTGTGAAGATATTCTAAAGCTTGTAAAATATCACGTAATATATAGGCTATAGCTGATTCTGGTAGACCAGTAGAAAAATAAGCATGTATTAGATCACGACTAGAACCTGCAATATTCAATAGACAATGATATTTTATCTGTACATAAAAGATGTGCAGTGTGATAGTTGATGAAAACACTTCTTTAAAGAAATAACTTTTAATCTTTAAGCTCATAGCATTAAAAGATGTCGGATCGAGGGAAATAATAAATACACGAGGGGAAAATAACTATCAAGAAAATCAAAACAACCAGGCATACATGAGTGTTCCACTGTGCCATATTGATCTGTTGATGCACATGCTTCTTTTGATTTAGTGATTAGAGATTTAGGTTTAAGGGGAACAATAGCTTTGCCTTCCATCAATATCAACAGTGTAAATTTGGAAATGACTACTTACCAAAAGCCATTAGTGGCATAACAGTCCATAATTCTTGACAATGCATGAAATTACAATAATGGGGTATAATCTTGGGATGATTTAACTGTTGACACAACACGATCTCATTCTAAAATAACAAATTAGACATCATTTCTAAAATAACAAATTAGACATCATTTCTTAAATGACAACATTTCTAAAATAACAAATTAGACAATACTTCTATAAAAGCAACATTTCTCTAAAATAATAAATTAAACATCATTTCTAAAATAACAAATTAGACATCATTTCTTAAATGACAACATTTCTAAATTAACAAATTAGACATCATTTCTAAAATAACAACTTAGACAATATTTCTATAATAGCAACATTTCTCTAAAATAATAAATTAAACATCATTTCTAAATTAACAAATTAGACATCATTTCTAAAATAACAAATTAGACTTCTTTTCTAAAATAACAAATTGGACATTATTTCCAAAAAAAACACAAATTAGAAATCATTATCTATATTTAAATCAAATAATGATGTTGCATGACAAAACACACAAATGAAATCTTACAAGCCTGGGCTAAAAACATTGTAATGTAGTATCTTTCACAAATTATGTTATAAAAATCTTATCTATGTTATAAAAGGTTTATAAAACATTACCTGAAGTGCATTGTAATCTAAACCTGGTGTTTCTAAGCCAATACGTTTAATAGCTACATGATGTCCTGATGATAGGTGCTTAGCTAATGATATACTAGCAGCATCATTATGTCCTTTTCCTGCAAAATATAACATAGGCATAATCTTCTTTCCAGTGATTCTTTGCTTTTTTTTATCACCATACAAATGTGTTGATAGCAATAGTTGAGAATGTGTGTTATACAAATATATAATATACCCAAACTCCATCCTCAACTTCCGCAAGTTGTGCCTTCAGATGAAAAAAAAAAATGTAAGGTGTTTTGTTGGGGACAATGAAAAGAATTGTTTTGCTTTGCAGGTAATGTATATTTGACTGAAGAGGAAAAACTGACACTAAGACTCTCAAAAGCTGAGACATGATTGGAATCTATAGCCAGTTATCCAGTAATTTGAGATTTACATTATGTGTTCTTTCAATTAGCTTATATTAGAAATATACCTATAACAGAGTAAACTTCATAACATGATGATATAGGTTCAAACTCTAGACCAGCTGTAGAATTACTCTCTGATAATGACATTCCATCTGATTTATTAATTACTTCAGCCTTTTCATTTGGCTGAAAATAATGGTCATATAATAAGTGATTCTTTCATATAGGCTAGTTATTATTTTGTACATAATTATAACAAATAATTCTATACAAAATCCTTTACAACATTAAACAGTCAGTCAAGATGCTATATACATATATATATAAATGCTTTAAATATATTTCCTAAAAATGTAGAGTTTAAATGTAGAGTGGATATTCCACTTTTGTGAAGTATACAAACATATACTAGATCAGGACTTTTGATTCATTAGAATCTGCTAGTAACATGAGATATGATTGAGTAATTTTCAACTAAAGTGAATGTTAATTGGTGCAATGATATAATTTTGTGATAGATTATATCATAAATTTCAATAATCCATTTTTTTTTTTCCTACAATTTTAATGGACTTTTTGATGAATAAGTCTGATAAGTGAACTGTCCTGAAGTAGAGAATCTAGATTGAATATAATACATCAATTTCTAAGGAACTATAGTCTGAGCAAGTTTCTTGGTATATTGAATTTTTCCCATTTTATTTGTGTGAATTTGATAAAAACAGTACTAATATTCTTAGAATGACTTTGCGTTGATGAAAATATATAATTTGAGAATTTTCATTAAAAATTTGGGGATATTTTCAGAAAAAATTTTGGAAGGGGGTGTATTTCTCTTTAATATCAACTTTATATATTTATAATATAATATAATATTATTTATTAGTGCAAGGTCATTCTAAAATTATGTGAACCCTTTTTTAATATTCAATTTCACTTGAATAAAACAGGCAAAATTCGATTTACCAACAAATCATCATCTTGAATACGTATTTTGGAAAAATGCAAACTTCCCATCAGCAAAGAGGCAAACTCACACTATTTTCGATGCAATACATATTTCATCCTCAACTTACTACAACACACTGGCTTAGTAGGTACAATATCAGCATGCAAATATAAGTTGTTAGTATCGTGTTCAATAATATAACCAGTCCAATATTTCTAATATACACATTGTTTCTATAACTTTATCATTGTTCTTGTATATTAGTATGCTTAATGTTCTTAGCAAAAGCAAAGCAGTACGAAGCAGTTTTGAAATACACGATAATGTACTATATAAATAATCAAGGTGTTTGTAATATGGCACATGGGCTCAAAAGGAAGTCATAAACTGCATGTATACGAGATTCTGTCATATATATATCCCAAACAATGGTGGTCAGAGATTTGGCCAATAAGATAAAATAATGAAACTGTTTATATATCCAACACAAATCTGTAGAAATATTTACTAGATCAACTAGAAAACAATCATTACATTTCATAAATCAAGTCATAGACACATTAGGTGATCTGCTATCAGATCTAGGAATATCGAGTTCTAGTCTTTCTATCTGCCAAAAAAAAAAGATCAAAGTTGGTTTTTAGTCATGGTTACTATTTAAATTAAACTCTATTGAGTTTGAGTTCAGAACTATCCCGACATTATCTCTAAATCCTCTGATTGATATCTGGTACACACACAATCACAACACTTCATAAGCAGATAGCCAGGGTCAAAGAATCAATGATACTCTTTAATTAACTCAGAAAGCATCATCTAGATCCCTGCTGAGCTTCAGTTCTCAATCCTACAAACCCGATTGGATTTACTGAGTAAAAACAATAAGGTATATAAGGGATAAGAATATTAATAAGCTTGTGTAAAATAATATGATAATGTACATGCAGTTGGGGTATAAGCTTTATATATAACTTTTATAGTGGAGTTAATAAAAAAAAGACATACATTTACAGAAGAAGCGCATGCAGTAATCCCTTACCAGTGCAGTGTATGTACTGCGATCATATGGTCTTTGACCAGGTGATTCAGATGCCCGCCCTTTAGAGCATCCACAGTGCTAAGAGAATAAAAATAAAAGAGATTGACCTTTCAGGATTTGATAGAAACCATGGAAGTGATTGTTGGCAATAAAGCAAAGAATTCATCTTCATGATGTTGATTCATGTGAGATAAGCTTATAGAAGCTTTCAAAAGCGAAAAGAAAATAATAAGGTTTAACAGGTTTGACAGTTTTAAAGTTGACCAAGTCAAGAAAAGTGCTGAAATTGTGTTCAAAGGAAACTTGGAAAATAAAAACCTGTAATTTTGAACTATCTAACGAAATGGCAGGTAAAAAGCAAGATGAAGGAATGAATAGCCTAAATTTCTTGTTGAGCTTGATGGGCTTGCGTTCAGCTTTCTAAACTATTTAAATTATTTTTGGCTCAAACTTGAAACTATTGTGAGTTGATTTGTGATGTATAACACAAATTTATAACTAACGCAGTCTTAATTATCATCATCTACAAAAAAAAAAGTTATTATGACTGCAATTCCTTGAACGCCATAACCATCTTTCTTTTAACACAGATGTTTGTAAATACAGAGATATCTGTCTTTCTGTCAAGTTCTATGAGTGTTGTACATCATTTACAAACTCCTGTAATACAAGAAAGGTGACTGCAGTCATGGTATTAGATGAAGTTCATAATAGCTTGACTCTGTGAAAAGTTTTAAGATTAGTTATTCTGACATCAAAATTAAACCAACATCAGAAAAATTGACAAAATGGACAGCTCAAAAAGTAGAATTAGGCTAAACATTACCATAAATAAAAAAAATCCTTGATGTTATTTTTGTCATGTTAATATTTACAACATTGATCATTGCTGTTATATATATAAAACTATAATCTAGGCTGCTGATTTCCAAGAAGAATTCTGTAGACACCTATAAGCTTAATGTAACAATGGAAAAATATTTGTCTATTGCTCTACAATTGATGTATTGAGCACTGAAAAATAGTTTTTTATTGTAATTTATGGTAAGCCTTTAAGCACACTTATAACATGACCTCAATCTAAAGACCTATTCGACCAGATATCTCGAAACATTTTGTGAGTATATATCTATTTTTATGCACAATAGGGCACTATTGATAATATTGATACATTCAATGCAAACATCCAGGAGTAATCAGTTGTCATGCTTTGCAACAAAGAAAAAAATCATAACATAAAAATAAAATTTCCATAAATAAAGATCATGAAAATTTGAGCCCTGTCTATGATGAATGAATCTTCCAAAAAAACCTAAAAACATTGAAACTTAAAATGTCCTATTAGCCTTTTAACTTACCAAAAATGACATCTGGAAACTGATAGACCAAGATTAGCAACTATCATAAAAAAAATCCTGAAAGTAGAAGAGAATGTATAGATCATTAGATATAGTAAAGAGGAATAACCCCTAGTCCTTACAACAATTGGGCGTATAGGAAGTCTTCATAAGCCTTTTCCACATTAGTTGTGGATAATAAACATAGTAAAATACATATAATGATTACAAACGTGAGAACAGTAGGCCTGTTAATAAAAAGAAATTATTGATATAATCTTTGGGAAATTATTGAGTTGTTTATTCAATAGTCTGTTTACGCCTTCACCGTAAAAGAGTCTATGCAGATTTATCTCCCCTTTAAAATGGGGTCTACTAAAGTGGAAAGCTGCTCAAATTGAAATGAATCTAAAAAAGTTAAGAAGACCAATGTTTAACCGAATCAAATCATCTAAAACAAAAATATTTGTCTTTAATGTATGAGCCTTAGATGCATTTAGGCTGTACTAAACACTGCAACTCAATCTTGATTAACAAAACAATAGACCCCACTTCTACCTGAAACGCTGTGATCTATTTGAGTACAATTACATATACAGACACACCCATCATTCACTGGCACTGGACTTTGATACGGTTGATTGTTAGTAGTGATGATGATGATTTGCATTTATTTGCCATTTGTTCGGATACGTTGGACCTCATAGATTATAGTATGAGTCGTCCAAAAACAGCATTTGCCTGGTAAATCCATTAAACTAATTTGAAACGTTTGATCTGAGGGAAGTTGTGGAGATAAATAGGTTCATTTCAACTCAAGGACATTTTTGTGATGTTTGTAGTAAATCATTTAGCCAAGATTTTGATTTTATGCTTACAAAAAACAAAAAAACAATATTGTCTTTGCACATTCGTTGTAAAAGTTTTACCATTTATCTATAGTTATGTGAAATTAATTTTTATTGTTAATTTTTTAGTAGATCTACTGACGTATTATGCCTTTATGGAGACCTGACTTTTTAGTCTTAAAATTGCTTTTAGAAATTTAAACATTTCAATTCATGAGCACACATTAAAAGCACAATCACAAATGATTAAGTAGCCTCTCTCTAGTGAGTGAAAATAGAACAGTTGCAATCATATGATCCAATTTTTCTAGGTTCTAATGTTCTAACCAAACCAAATAAGGTTGGCTTTAGTTTTATGCTACAATAATACCATTATAGGCCTATACAGCTTGGTGATAAAGCTATATGCCAATGCGAATTTTCATGGTTTGATTTCAGGATGGCTCACCAACTGAAAAATAGTTATACACGTGAGTTTCTGGCACCAAATTTAGTTCAAGTTGAGGTTCCTGGTGGATTTCCGTATGAAGCTTTTGATGGTGAAGGTAATGTTTCGTCATCCAGATTACTGTTTTAAAGATTAAAGGAGCTAAAATTAACGTCGCTTCTTTTGTGCAGGGGTGCTCAAACTTTTGTCTGTTTTGATTGGCTTTTATATTTTAGCAATTTCTTTAAGGGTTTAACAACAGGCCTCTTGAACATTCATCCAATTGATTACACTGCCAGCCAATAAAATTTCTTCCCTGGGTTTTTGTGTTGTGATGTTTGTGTGACAAATTTCCAAATTGGCAGACAGTGTCATCAAATAAATGAGGCCTGACTTCATTTGTCTATATTGAAGTTAAAAATGTACACATACTTATTTTTTGTTTCAGCTCATATCAAACCATGGAGTGTTTTGACCCTTGTTGAAAGTGGTAGAGCTTTTACATTCAACCGTTCAGAGAGTGATCCAAATCACTCATTTTTAGATCTGGGGTATTTATATAATGTAGGAATGGGTTTTATTGGTTCTGGAAGTACCATCTTCAACAAGAATTTATACAACACAGAACTAAGGAAAAGTCCTCTTACACTAACTAAGAAACTTCTATATGCTGGTAATTCCTCAGTTAATTTATTAACTCAAGTTCTTCATCCTGATTTGACGGAACCTTTAGTTGAATGCCAAGTACAAACTATTCTAGTGAGTAGAGAAACTCGTAAACCAGTTCAATTACCTGATTGGTGGAGAGAAAAGTATCAGAAATATTCTCAGAAGGAGGCAGCACTGAACTGGAGATTGAATCAAAAGCGACCAAATAACCTCACATCATATTCATTAACAATACAGCCAAGTGATTGTGATCCATATTTTCATGTGAATTGGTCAAATTACCTCAAATTCTGTTGCGATGGACTTTTAGGTTCTAATCTAAAATCAAGTGGATTAACAGTTCTTAAACAGCCACAAATTAAAATAGCAAATTTTACATTTTTGAAAGAGTGTAATGCTGGTGAGCAGCTATCTGTTATATTTTGGACTGAGGGAAAGGAATTATGCTTTGAAATTGAAAATCAGGATAAAGATGTAGTATATCAAGCTCATTTGGAGGTCCATTAACAAAACCCCCACATTATTTTATAAGCCAATATGAAGAAAATAGTCACAATGGCATCCTTGTTAATATTATTATGTATTCTCCACTTTACAAAACATGATTATAGTTCTGTTCTAGTATTTTGATTCTCCACTTGAAGTTTGCAGTATTGATTACAATTTTTTAAATATAAATGGTTGTTTCTTTAGGAATTTGGATATTCCATCAGTTGCCCTGGATACATGTAGTGTAGTGTATATGTCATTATATTATCAAAAGCTTTGAGCTTTCAGTGATATAAAATATAAACCTGCACCATTGTACAGTCGGATATTGTGTCTTTCAGATGACAAGACTTGTTTGCAAATAACTTTCAATGGTCTCCATGGTAACAATGAATTATCAATATTGCTTTTGGTGCTAATTCAAAGGAAATTTTACATGTCTTTTATAATGCTCAATCTTTATTTGTTTAACACTATACATACTATACAAAAATATTGCACATTTCATTTTAACAATTAACAAACATAATAACAAATCATATATAAATATCACAGTTCACATAAAACAATCACAATTGACGTGCACTTAATGTTACCATAAATTGTAAATGTGATAGGGGCTACACTTATGCTTCAGTAAATATTGGTGACAAATTTGGTATATGCTAATTTCTGATGAACTTTTATGAATGTGTTATTGCCCTTCACATGACGGTAGTTAGAATCAGCCCTGTCATTAACCCCCAGTAAACCTTCTTAAATTTAGCTGAGATTGATTAATTAGCAGTGTCTTTGTACAAAATATAAAAGATGAACATTTTGAGGGCCACAAAATAGTTAGAAATGAGTTCTCCAGGCTTCTAATTTTTATGGGGGGCTGCCAGCTCATAGAACTTGTGTTGCTCTGTGTCCATGGGCTCTAACCACACCCCCTCATCACAAAGCCAAGCCCCAGCTCCTCCAATTCATTTCTAGCGACGGGGCTGGTAGGAATATGTCAAAAATGGCTTGTGGATGCAATTGCGGCTGCAGTTTTATCTGAGTTTGATGAAACTTGGTATGTATATGTACAAAAATTAAATCTTGGATGAGTTCCAATTTTGCAAATTTTCAAAGAATCGGTTTTTAGTTGCAGTCCCTAACTTGGACAGATTCCACAATAGTTTTTGTTCCTTTAGTCTAAGAAGATTTACTTTTTTTGATGGTCTCCATAACAGATTTACGTAATGTTTGTACACAAGATGATAACTGACTATCTGTCGTTGTTAATGTTTTAAAATAATTATCCATTATACTCTTCATATTACCATTATATTTACCATCTTTCTGTACATTATCAGCTGTAAATAGAAAGAATTAGAACAATGACTAGCTTGCTAAGTAGCAAACCCCAAATTAATTTTTAACAAATTTGAAACTATGATTTTTATACCTTTTAGCCCCAAAATGTATGTCAGAATGTACCAGAATTTTGTATTTTGAATTGACATTTTGACCCCCCATTGAGTCAGTCTGCCCTCAATTTGTACCCCCAGTCTTTGGGGATTAGATTTAACAATTAAATCAATTGAAGTTGAACACTTCAAAGCTCTTATGCACAGACAATTAACTTACATATTTCTTTCATTTCTTGTATTGTAGATTGTACCGAACGAATATCTTTGAAAAATATTTGAATACTTTTTGCTAAATCCACATCTAAACCTTTGGTTACTTTTCCTGAAACAGAAAATTTAAAAATTTAAAAAAACTTTAATATCTTCTGTCTACTGCGGTAATCTAAAAATACGATTAGTGAAATATTTTAACCAAAAAATATCATAAAGATAGCTTGCCAGGCAAGGTAATTTACGCCAGCCGACAGCTATGAATTTAAATGAAAATATTTGGCAGTGCAATCACACATATGAACCATTCAACCCTACACTCTTTTTTACTTTTTGGAGTGATACTGAACAATATTACGAATTTTTGGCAAAATCTGGCAACAATCGAGTTTTAAAGTGTTTATGAGCTAAATATTTAATGCATTTTCAAGATCAAGAGCAATAACTTGTACTTAACATTTTTTTATTTTTCTGATTTTCAATAGGGTTCATCACAGTTTCATCAAAATCTTCCAAGAATTGTGCCTTCAAGAGCTAAAAATTGCACATGTTTTCAAAAACAAATTTCATGTGGGCTTATAAAAAGAGCTGCAGTCTACCTTTTTGATTAGCTTTCATTAATTCAGATTTTAAGAGAACATTTTCTTTATATATTGTTTCATAATCTGGTTTTTCTTCTTGCTGTAAAATAAACAGAATCGTAAAAAAAACACATGCAGCATAAGTTTTGCAGCTGGGTTGACTAGAATTATTAAGAGACTTATTCAAGGTCATCAGACTTTTACATGCAAACAAAGATTAGAACCCATAGCAACCATTTGTTCAACATAACCAAGCCAATGACGTCATGTAAAGAACCAAAACCCACTGCGCTACAGAACCTTACAAAGACTAAATAAGAAGTTTCAGATTATCAAAACCCTAGATAATTCAGATAACTTACAGCTTGTGATAAGATATCAACATTAAGATGTGGGTGAATTTGTCCATTACTTTCTGGATGTTCAATTTCAGAGGGATCTGAATAAAAGATTTCAAATGTTAATTCACAAGTAGCATATCAATTTTAAATGGTCAACTGCAATCCAAATATACAGAGGCTGATAAAATATATGAGGTTTACATGCAACATGAAAATTTGAACAGAATGTCAGCTTGTCTTTCTGACACAGAATGCTGATTTCAAGGAAATTCTAAAAACATCCCAAATGTTTTTTCTCTTATTTTCAAATGATACTTAAACACACATTTTGCAGCATAACTGTTAGACATATTTGGTTGTTAATTTGAAATTCTAATTTCTTAAACAAAGCAGAATACTACATATTCAATGATGCTACATCAACTTTAGTACAGTTAAATAGAAAATTCAAGTATTGAATTTTGAAATATTAGTTTTTATTAAAAATGTCTTTTAGATGACAGTGAGTAAGAAGTGATAGGCCAAGGAATCACTCATGAAAAACAAGATCTATACAGAAATCTTATAATTCAGCAGTAATAACTTACTCTTTGTACAAGATGTCACTGAAAACAATTTAAAGTTCTCAATTGATCAAGATTGTAGCTTATACATGAATGTCTGGCTTAAAGGTTTTTTTTTTATATCACTGACAAAAGCTGCAAGGGCCTTTCAAAATGCTTAGTTTTAGTGCAATTGCAAGAACCACAGACATCTGACTGAAAATTGCAATGGCGCAAATTGATGCTATCAGTGTTCCCAAATACAAATAAAAAGTTAAGTTACAATCCCTTTAAGAGAAAAGATTACCCATTTCACATGTTCTTCTTAAATTCTCTATTCATGTCTTATTCAGAAAGCAAGATTTCAAGGCTAAAAAATGTCCTGTTTGTTAAAAGATATTTTCAAAGTCCACAACAATAATGAAGGCTTCGATCATATGTACCTTTGTCCAATAATTATATTGCTCTTTCACCATTAAAAACCAAGATAAGAGGAGCACATTTTTAAGAGTTGTTGACAATAAATCAAGACAAAATGTCTCACCTTGTGTGCCCCACAATTCTATAACAATTGATTCTGTTAATAATTGATCTAATATTTTAGAAGTTACTTTCTTATGCTGTATTTGTGCTGTAAAATCTAACTCTGTTTGTGGTTTATTCCAAATTCTTTTACTGGATATGATATTCTTTTCACCAGGTACAATTATTCTGTCAAATAAAATTTTATTAACTTTAATATTAAAATTAATGTTTCATCTCCCCACATTTTCAAAATACATATATCTGATCTCATTTTATTTCAAGATACCTTTATGTTTAATACATGCTAATACATCTACATTATGGTCAAAATTTTACCCTTAAATTGGCTGTATCCTAATGGTGGAATAATTTAGTTTGTAGAAAGTTGGATTAAGTTAACAAAATTAACATGCCACAGCCAGTGCTTCTGAAAGTCAGCCTGCTGTATGCTTTCAACTCCTCTTTGGCATGTGTTGCTCCCATGACAAGCATTCAAATGTAAGACCACTCATCGATTATACATCTTCTATAAGAATCACTTTATTAGGGATTATATACTTAATTGACTCAATAACAAATACCTGCAGAAAACGCCTCGAGATTTATCTTCCATAATCCATCTAACACCCATACACTGTGGTAACATTATTACATAGTTCAAAGGTGAATCTAATAGTTCATCTGCGTCTGTCACAATACTGTCATCTCCTAGTGGTCTCCCCTTGTTATTACATGGTACAACTTGTACATGTATTACAGCTTCCTCTTTACCATGGTAATTATGGAGAGCGAAATGTTCATCTATTTCCATGTTATATGCAATTGGTTGCAACCACACGTGACAACTGGAAAAAATGAAAAGGATAAATTTAAACAGAAACACACTTATTGTCCCTGAGAATCACCTTAACCCCTGCAACTATTTACCCGTGTGATTTCAACTTTAAATAAGTGTGAAACAACAGCTAAAAAGACAGCTATGATACATTTGAATCATCACTCATTTGGAAGTCACAATATTGAAGATTACCATGGTAACATATACAGTGCTAATATGTCTTATATGCAGTTTCCTAAAGAAGTGTTCTTGATTCTAGGTTCACAGTTGAATTATACTTGAATACAGATCTCAATACATCATGGAAAGCATGTGAATTATCATGTAATTACCTTCCAAGAAAAACATCTTCCACAGGATCCCAAAATGGATCATTCTTCTTGTTGATTTTCTTAGCACCAAATTCACAAAACTCTCCATAAACTTGATCCATGATATTTTTACGATTATGAAATTTGGCCTTACTCCATGTCCATACCTAGACAGGGAGCAGAGAAATGGTTAATGACACTCAAAATTCTAAATACAGATCATTAATTGTATTTTCTGATTGTTACCTACATGATCATTGCCTGATTTATCATTTCATCATTCGTAAGTGTCCCATTTTGTTTTTAACAAGATCAACCTGATAAGAATGTTTCACAGAGAACATCATGAAAATCAAAATTTCGAGTTATAGTGAGGTGAGACTATTTAATGCCAAAAATACTATCAACTACCTTTTTAGTGAGTGTATTAGTAACTTTCACCACAACTTCTTTTTCGGTAGTTTTAGCTGACGTTTCATGACTTGCAAAATTCTTAACTTCTGCTTCAAATTTCACATACTGAAAAATATAAGAAAAGCAACCCTGCTTGTGAAACAAAACTAAGGCAGGGAGAAACCAGTAAAGATAGAAATATAAAGTGGAGTTCTTCTGTCTGACTACTTGACAGTGCATTCAACGAACCCCAAAAGCCTTTTGGTCCATTTGGCTCTGGAAGCCTGGTGTCATCCTGTAAAGTAATTTTTACAATTGAAACTTCTCCATTCCAGTGTCTTTCGGCCATGGTTACTCTCCTAAATTGCCCTTATGACAGATGGTGATCTCTCGTTTCCGGTGGATTGTGGGAAAAATCGACCAGGACTATTTGCATATATTCAACCCTAAAAAATGTCGCTGGTTGCCGTTTAAGGATCAAAATATAGAAAAAGCATTTCCAAACCAACCTTATTCATTTCTTCACTAATAGCATTAGCTTCAGTTATTAGAGGCATCAAATCAACAAATTCATGAAAGACTGTGGTTGAAGTTGCTTGAGCATCACTATTTCTTCGTGGTGTCTGTAATTCCACAGCCAAACCTTCATGTTCAGCTATTTCCGTCATAAAGTAATCATAGTTATATTTCTCTAGTTGATCCTGAGAGCGTCTCTCACTCATAAAACCAACAAATAGAAAGAGACTGGTTGTTCCAAACTTTAATCTATCCTGAAAACAACAAAAACAACAATTAAAGATTCTGTATAAGTCTTATTCTCTTATAAGTTGGATCTCTTATTGAACAAATTGAATATGAGGAATTCTGCTTGTTGGGTATGCTCAGTTAATTGTTTACATTCCAAGACCACCCCCTTGAGGTGGGCCAGAATTGGAACAGCCCTCAGAGTTACCCTTTTACATTACACAAAATTTATCTGGTTCTTTCTAAGAAACTTTCTGAGAGTGCATAGTTTTTGTAGTGTAAAAGGGGTTATAGATAGTAGATATTTACAGGGTTACCACTTGACGCTGTTCATTGAACAACAAGTTCTTATTCATGAGAAACAGTTCATAGCAATTGATACATACCAGATGATGTAACTGTGTTTTCTGTCGTAATTTACTTCCATTGTAATTAATTAAACACTGTATAGAACAGGGTTCAATATACACTTTATTACCATCATTATATATCATAGCATGATGATTTTGAACGCTGAAAGTAGAAATGGAAATTAACTATAAATTTTCAAATTCTAAACTTATCTAAAATGGAAATGTAAGTAGTATACCAAAAGATTTAAAAGTTGGCATGCTTCAATGTTCCAAAAGTCAACTTGGATCAAGGTGTATCCAACTTTAAATATAATTTACCTTAGGCCTTTTATAGTAATATCAACATCTTCTTGATTCTCTTTTCCAATTACAGTTTTACCTGAAACAAATTTTAAAGTCTTGAATACTTATTTCTTGCTGCACACTGTTGCCCTTAATTTTGCAGCACAATTACTACTAGTTACATTACTGCTTAAAGGAACAGGGGTTCCATTTTGGGGGGTTGATTTGAGTCTTGAATATATTTAAATAGAATTTCTTTTCCTATTTCTATGGATGTCTTTTAACATTCAAACGTGTATAATTATGGATACACATGGATTTGAAGGCTCAAATTTCGACAGAGAGCTGTGAACACTATTACTGATTGGCTTAGCAAAAAAATTCCTGTCTATGAGACTAAAGTATGATTGGTAAAAAAAACATGCCCCTTCAATATTATGCCACCATAAGTACATAAGCTAACATTGCTATTAATATAGCTGATATATCATGTTGGACACCTTGGCACATAACTACTATCAGGTTGTAACAGTAAAATTCATTGGGTCTGCATCAAGGAAAGCGCTATCCCAGACTTTTTTGATTTCCACTAACCTTTATCAAAACAATGTTTAATAACTCCAGTTAACTGAGAATCTTCATTTACGTTCATTATATAAGGTTGTTGTTCCCATTCTGCTTTCTCTTTAGAACTGTTTAAAAATGTCTTCTCCCACTCTTTTCTGAAATGAAAAATCATTTTCGCTCATCACCTGCAGTTTTCTTAATTTTTGCACATGTTATGGAACTTCTTCTCCCTAATCTTCTCCCTAATCTTCTCCACCCACCCCATCTTCTTTCTTTCCTGATATAAAAGAGTTCTTATATTTTTATAAATCATACACCGTTATCATGTAATTTTGTTGCAGAAAAATTTGAGTTTCTTGAAGCAAAATGTCTTATTCTTTCATGCACTTATAAAAACATGTCTTCATTTGATAACATAGTATTAATTCAAAAATATTCCATGAGATTCTTAATCTTTTACCTGGCCTCTTCCAATCTGTTCTCCCAAGATAACTGCATACCCATTTGTCTTTCATTTTCAGCCAACAGATATTTTAATTCTTCTGAATTATCTGTTTTTTTATTTCCACCAGTTTTTAACATAGCCATTAATCTTTCATTTTCTTCTTTTAATTCTCGAATTAATCTTTCTGTAGGACTTTCATTTACTACAGCATTATTCTGAATCTTTTTAGCCCTAGAACAAGCAATGAGTCCATTAAAGATAGGAATTTACTGAAATGGTAGCCATTTTGGAGACATCAAACAGGTAGAGCTCAACTGTGATCTTAGGTTTAGATATAAGCTTGATGGAAAGGCCTTCTGGTTTTGCTTTTTTTTGCTACTTTCATTTTTGCTACTTCTGTTTTTCCTACCTCAGTACCGCTTCCAGATATGATTTTGTCTGTGGAAATTGAGAATTACTTTGAAAATAATAATTTCAATAAAACATAGTATACCTGTCGGCATATCTTAAAGTTGATAATGTTTCATCATAGTTGATATCAGCTGGACTTAAGGCAGCAATCTGAAATTTGATTGATAATTTGATGAAACACTGCCCAACTTATTTTTCCAAGAAATTTGTTTATTTATCTTTGTAGGTAACAAAGTAATTTGTTCTTTACATGCAGTTCCTATGCGTCCATCCTATTGCAACATCAGATTGTTATGAATTCTTACCATAATAGTTCTACTGTTACCACCAAGAGCAGATTGTAATAGTTTAGTTAAAACAGAATCTCTGTATGGTACAATCACTTTCTTCTTCCCTCCAGAAATATCAGCCAAAGCACTGAAATCAAATTACATGAACTACTATATTCTGTTGTATATATACATGTATCTGTTGGATTGTTGTCTACTCTGTTGCCATTAGTTCGAATGTCAAGGTTAGAATAATTCATGGCCAGTGCTTCTGAGAGTCAGCCCAGTCTTTAACGCTTTCAGTCCCTAATATCTCCACTAGCTCATCTCTGAAAATATTGCCTGAGAGACAATGTACGTACCTAATAACATTACCAAGAGATGATAAACTCTGGTTGATAGCAGCTCCTTCCTTTAATCTATCACCAGTAGCACCAGTACTATTAGCTCTTTCACTACCAGCTAAATCAACTAGATTTATCTCACTACTTTTAGTAGTACTTTCACCAGATACATTCATAAATACCTGCATGGAAACATAGACAAATATGAATAATGCTAAAAAAAAGTCCATAATTGTGTGATAGCAACAAGAGCTTCTTTTTCATTTGACTCTTGTTAACAAGAAGTACCAGTTCTAAAATAAACTTGGTGTCCACCATTTTTGTTCTATTATCAAGTAAAGACAACACAGCACACAGCTGCTTAAAGAAGCTCCATATGACATCATGCATTAAAGAAGGGAAAGAAGTAAACCTTTGTGTAAGAATTTCATATGAAACAAGTTTTGCAGATTTCAAAAATAACACATACAAACTAACCCCTGTTACCACTAACTTATGTTTGAAAAGCATCTGTATATATGTGACCTTTGCATTCACTGTGTATCTCTGAGTATGTAAGATTCTTTCACAATTAATACTAATAAGATTGTTGAAATACCTGTTCAAATTTAATAGTTATAACCATATGTGATCTACTACTAGTAGCATTCATATTGGTAGAGGCTGTAGTTCTACTGATAGCACCTTGATTCATTAACTGTTCTATTTCTTTATAATTACTTACTGGTACTTGCTAAAATTTAAATTAAAAAAAATTATATGACATTAGCTTATGACATAATTTGCTGCTAAAACCTTAAATTATGTTCATTATCTACATCTAGTCCAAGCTTTCTATCAGTGGGCCAATGTGTTTATACGCCATTAGATCGCTAGCACATCGAATACTTTAATACCTCAAACCTACTGTGTAGTCACTCATTTTCAGTTGATATTTCAAACTGCATATCTTTGATATTGACAGTCAAGTTATTAAATGTAATATCCATTTTCATGTATTGGTCCAGGATAAATTATGTCATCCATTGAATAGGTTGAAATTTCTTACCTTCAAGCCTTCAACATAAAACCCAACTTTAGGATTCTGTCGAACTTTTAAACCACCTTGTTTTTGTTGTCCTTTAACCAATAGATCTCTGATCTGTTCATTATATATTTCTAACATACTGAATGTTACCTACAAAATTTAACATAAATTCTATCTTTGTGAAGTGAGTTGGTTGTAAGTACAATAATTTGATCTACTGGCTGATACTTAATTTAAGCTTTCTGTATCACTTTCCAGAATGGAAAACCAACACCTAGTTCTTAAGCTATCTACAAAATCTTTGTGTTAGAGTTATAACTGTCATGAGAAAGTTTAGGAAGTGCTTGAAGTGCTGACAGTCTAAACTTCCATAAAACATTTGAGTTTAATTGTAAAGAAATGAGAAGTAAGATTTCAATCCTGAAAAATGATACAGATAGTAAACATTGAGCTCTCTTAGCTTGAAGATCAACAAAAGTAGTAGGCTACTATCCAGGAAAACAAAGCCAGTTCACAAGATATGACTTTCTGCCCTTTAGAAATTGATCAGAATTGTTGAAATTCTAAAATTCTTACCCTCAATTGTTTCTTGTCATCTTTGTTACTTTCAATAGCTTTAAATAGTTCACCACAAGTTATAGGTACAATACCTTTATTATTACCATAGCCGGTCATAGAGTAACTCTTACCAGACCCAGTCTGTCCATAGGCAAATAATGTAGCATTATAACCTTGCCAAGCATTGTCTAATACACCTTTACCAAGGTCACTAAACACTTTATTCTGAAATAAGAAAATATATTTTTGACCAAAAGGCAGGGTGAAACTGAATATTAATAAGAAATAAATAATCAATTTAGTCTTCGAAGTTTTTTATCAATCAAAAATGAAAATTCAATTAAATTTCTATCTTCATTAACCCAATGAGCTTAAACAAGTAAAATGTAAATCACAAAGTCATTTAGATACATAATGTAAATTTCTTCTTAGTGGGTGCAGAAAAGAGTGCTGACTCTTTGCACCAAACCCTGGTGCTTCTTCCATCTTGAAGTACCTAGGGTGGCTATTTAACTCATCTTGGTATAAATTTGTCCTTGTTATCAAGTGGGCTAAATATACTTCAGTTAAATATTCAAAATGAAAATTTGGATTAAGCAACTTGAGAAATTATCAAAATATAGTTACCTGATCAGCATATTTTGAGGTCTGTGGACAATAAACACCCTGTTCATCTTCAATATAATCATCATGAGACCAATAACAATGATCAAAAGAAAATGTTTTACTGTCACCATTATCAGGATTGGTTATAGTTGTTGAAGCCCCATTCATAGATATAATGCATTTTGATCCTGCATTCTTTTCTCTCTGGAATATACAGTATAACAAAATAAGGTACAGTAATTTGACTGTATATTTGATATCTTGTGTCCTGAAGAACCAATCAAATCATATCATTCAGAAACTGTTTCTTGATAGCAATGTTGAACTGTGGTATTGCAAAACCCAAAGAAGCTGTCATATTTCTTTAAATTTGGTTGGCTATCAACAATTTCAGGTATCACATGACATGCTTTGATTGGTTAAAAATAATTTTATCTGAAGAGACTGTGGTAGACTTGTTAGATCACAATGGAGACGAAAATGTGATCTAATTCTACTTAGATTGGGACTCTTTTTGTAGCAAATATCCTACAAGTAAATCTACAAAACATTTTCTTAAATATCTTGCATAATCTTTTTTAATTAATATGGTGAAATCACACCAGAGAATAGCTGTTTGTGATTTGATTTTATACACACATATTTACATGGTTTCAAATGGTAATACATGTCAAAGCAAATAATTTATTTAGAATGGTAGGCCTACACCTTGTATATTTTAAAGTTTAATCAAATAATGAAATCTAAGACCAGGGCGTATTAACAAAGCCATTGAACCTTTCTAAGAAATGATACATTGATTTGGTTTGGACTTGTCTTTTAGATAACAATTACCTATTGTTTTAAGATATCCAATTACTTGCTCTAGTGGTCCAATTACTTCCTTGAAATGGGTAACTAATCGTTATACTAAATACTTGAAATTTTCCTATATGATATCATATTGAACAAAAAAAATCATATCAATGTGTTTGTAAGTCATGTATCAATAAAAGCCTCAAAGATTACTAGCAATCATTTGGATAGAAACATACATGCTATAAGCCCACTGTAAATTTGGCAAATGGAGTTCACCGTTTTCAAGAACATCTGTCTTAGTTCCAAGAAGCCTATTTCTCATATTTTCTCTATTTGGCATGTTTTTATACACTTATTATTGTCAGATTTATGCAGCTCAATCTATAAATAATAATAAAGTGAGGTTCTATAAAGAGCTATGAAAACTTCAACCATATGAGTCAAAATGTTAAACGTCAAAACTTAAATTTTCTTAACTTCAAAAATAACAAGGTAACAAATACATTGATATAGCTGAATAACAATAATTAATTATTATTTGAAAATAAGGCCAGGACATGTTTAAGTAATGTTTTGGTCAGCTTAGAAAATTAGGCCAGGACATGTTTAAGTAATGTTTTGGTCAGCTTATGTTCACTCTATCATTATCATATCTATGATTCACACTTGAATGAACAAAATGAATAGAGGTCCCTTCTAAAATATATCTCCTTAATAATAGGTGTTCTTTGACTTTTTGATTATAGGTGTATGCTACCACACAACTTCAGATTAGGCTTAACACTACTGGCCTAATTATGAATAGATATTTGATAAAATAACAATGAAATTAAGAAGGTGAGGTCAATATGGAACTGTCCAGAATTTGATTAGGGTCTTATGATAATTATGACTCAAATTAAAAAGTGTATATCAAAAGGGATATAAATATCAGGAATTTGGTTGGAAAATCCTACATTATTGTTGTATAGCAAATTAATATTTACTAATGAATACAAATATACAAATAATAATCAACTTAATAACCTAGCTGACATCCGTGAAAGAATATGTGGATTAATATACTTAATAACTAGATATATTTTTAGATAAAAAGTTTTATTTGAGCACAAAATATCATAAAAGAGGATATACTATTTTTAAATATCAACTTAAGTTGTCTGTGGTTCCTGCTATTCCACTAAAACTAAGTGTTTGATGACATCACTAAACGCATCATATCACGGAAGGCCCTTTGCAATTAGTAACGTCATAAAACATTTAACCATCTTCATTAGCTCAAATGGTGCTGAAAAGAATGACGTAAAACTCCTTTCATTTTATAATACACCTAAGTTTTATTGGAATTGCAGGAACCACAGACATCTGATTAAAAATTCAAAGTGACCACTCTGTTTGTAAAAATGCTCCAAGCATTAAATATTAATGGATTCACTCTATTGCTCAATGCCCTCTAGTAATTATCTTATGTAAATATCAACATGTCTTAAGTAAATAATTGAAGGAATATTGATTCTTAAAAAGTGTTAACAAGAAAATCAATTTTTAATGCTTTCATTGCTGGAAGGATATTTTGTTCTGATGAAATCCTATTTGGAAAAGTAGTCACACTTTCTTAATACTTTTATCAAAATAACTTGCCTGTTATTCAATCTTAAAATATGACAATAATTTTAAAAGGAATAACACAGCAAGAAACATTTGTGTAGGCTTCATTGCTGAAAGTTCTTTTGCAATTCATGCTATTAAAGTGGCCCTCACACCATAACTATCACCAATTGTGTATGGTTGCGAATAAGAATGGCTGTCATATGTTTTGAACGCAACTCTCACTGGGTTGACCACTTTCATTATTTGCAACCATACGCAACTGGTAATCACTATTGTATGATAGGGCGCCTTTATCAATTTTAAGTTATTAGCTATAGAGCAGATCACTGAGATTTGAGCTCCATTTTAGAGTGGCATCAGGTGCTTAGAAAAGTACCAAGCTTGTGAACATCAACATGATACTTATTGCTTAGGAGCTCCAAGTTTTGAAAAAAATTGTAATTAAGAGCTCAAATAGGAGTGAGGAATTTTGAAGACACTCAATATGTCAGTAGTAGTGTGTCAGGGCAATGTAATTTAGAACAGAGGTGTGACTTAATAATTCAAATCTTAAGTTATTTTATAGGGGCATCTTTGATTTGTGTGATTTGTGTTATTTATCAAGAAAGGATTTATATCCTTTGAGTAATCATTGGTTTAACCAACATAAAAGAGATTAAAAACAAATTTTAAACACTATTCTCTTTTATTAAAATATATTTATGATTTATAGCTTCTATGAAGTATTCTTAATCTTAAAGGTGGCATAAAAGATAAAAAAAAAGATTGCTTTATGGAGATTTTTAGAAATTATTTTTTGTTTATTGATTGAACTGTAGGATTTATTGGAAATCAAACAGTATTAAGAAAATTAAGTAACTTTTGATGCCATAAGCAGGGGCCACTGGTATTATAAAAACTGGTATTTCAAAGTCATTTAACCTGTTAAAACTGTATTTTGATACTTTATGAATCCTGAAATGAAAGTATAATTATTTTTTCTGGCCACCTGATGTATTTAGTTTTGCCACTTTGAAGGAGGGTTTCTATAACATGTTACATCGCAATAATGATAACAAATTATATTTATGGAAACTTTTACTGATTCGATTCTTATTAACTATTCAGGTCAAGCCAATCAAAGTGCTCAAAGATTGTACATGAACCAAAGAGCCATTATGAATGTATTCTTATAAGTAACCTTCAATATTGTTTGATATACTAGTCCATCATAAAGGTAGGCTATAATCCCTAACTGTCATAATATTTTATATCATAAAGAAGATCCATTTATTTATTGTTGAGTCAATAAGATTAATTTCAGTGTTCGGAAGGGTACCAAGTGTACCTGTGATCTATATGTAATATAATCTCTTTTATAAATATATCTTATTTATTTTATTATATAATATATTTATTTTTTATATTATATTTGACTGTATGTCACATTTCCTTGAATCGTTTGATCATTTCCCAGACTACTTTATTTAAATCATTCTTTCAAGAATTACTTATATTGCCTATTAATATTTTGCTTATTATGTGAAAAGATTGCCAAACAAAGCAAAGAAAGTACAATTTAAGTTCTGATGCATAATTCTTCAACAAGAACAGATCAAAGTAATTCTTAAGTAATAAGAATTGTGTTTTTCAAGCCTTTCACATCTTGATGTCTTATTGCTTAAGCTTTTACCAACAAACCATAATGGGCCAAAAAAAAAAAAAATTTTTATGAGGGACACTGATATCCATTTGCACCATTCCAAATTTCAATCAGGCATCTGTGGTTCCTGCAATTCCACTAAAACTTAGTGTTTGATGACCTTATGTTATAAAGCATACTTCACGATAATGGACGTCATAAATACTTAGTTTTAGTTCAATTGCAGGAACCACAGAAATAGTGCAAATTGATGCTATCAGTATCCCTATTACACATAAAAAAGTTAGAAAACCTCTTTACAATCCCTTTAAGAACTTATATTCTCTTACAGAAATTTCTAGTCTAGTTTCATTTAGACACATTAAACTTGCTGGAGGTATAAAAACATTAATATAATCAATAATCATTCTTCCTAATAATAGCTCATCAATTTATATTAAAGAGTTTTAAATTTAAACAGTTCTAGACAAATAATGAAAAATTGATTATAGTATCCTTGGGTACATTGTCTGATTGGAGCAATTTAAAGGTCATCATATTCTGTTTTTTTATCGGTTATCCTTAAATATCCCTAAATCATGAAAAGTTTAAGGGGTTTCGTGACAAATTAAGAAATTGAATCCTCCATGCCTTTTGCCAACTTGCTCTTCATCTCTTAGCTTTACATTGTCCTGAAATGCCCAGTTGATTCAACTGAAAGAGGGAAGAAAGACGACTTACTTAATATCAAAAGAATGAGCAAGATTTGCTGTAGTGACGAGTTTTCTAATATAATAAAGATCTGTATCCTCCAACCCCCCACACCCCCCCTCACCCTACACAGTAAACTAACGTTAAGTATATCAATCAAAGATTACCCTTAAAATACAAATACAAATTGCTCTGACCAAGATTAACCCTTCCAATTTCTTATGAAATCATTGGATAAATCAAAATACTATGCACCTAAGAATAACTTTTTGTAAAGTTCCAAAAGTCAATGAAAATGATGCCAATCTGACTTTTAGAAGAATTAGTATTAAAGACTACAGAGCTGGAAAAATCAATCAAGTAAATAATAAAGATGATTTAAATCTATGAATTTATATGAAGCTTCTCATTGTTATGACTGTAAATCATGAAATTGGTCCAATAATCTAACAAACTAAACAAAGACAAATAAAGAGTACTGAAGGTAAACTATAGATTGTTGCTGGGGTGATCAAATATTTCTCAGGTAATCAATAATTCAGATAGATTAACATTTCAAACCAGAATCACATTGTTCTCAGATTTTCATTATTTATACTGAAATTAAATTTCATTGAATTCAGACTTTCATTGCTTGGAATCATAATACCAATGATATTTCTTTTGGTGTGTTCTATTGCTTAGAGCCATTTGACACAGAAATTCAATTTCATTGAATTCAGATTTTCAATGCTTGGAATCAAAATACCTTGAAATAATATCTTGAATTTTGATTTTTCTTAGATTTTCATTGCTCAGAATTATCTAGACTGGCATTTTATTGTCTGATTTTCATTTCTCAGTATTATATTTATACTGAATTCAAATTCATTGATTTTCAAATTTTATTTTCACCGATTCATATTTTTACTGAACTACCATTTTGTTCTTGCTCAAATTCACCAACATGGAATTGTCACTTTAAGAATGCCCCTGCTATTGATTCTTTAACCCTGGGGCTGGCACAAATCTGATTGAATGTATTTTGTTCACTCATTTCAATAAATAATTATACAGTTAAATGATTAATCAATGTGGTAATTATTAAGAAATGATTAATATAAAATGATTATTGTAATAAATAGATAATAGAATATTAATCATTACTAATGATTATTTATCATACATGTTAAATCAATTTAAGATTAAGATGATTTTGTCCAGAAACCAATGAGTTAATAAATAAAAATTCAATTTGTTAATCAAGATTAGTATGAATTGATCCATAGAAAAGATTGATATAAACTGATTAATATTATGATTTGGTTAATGGGTTCCCTGGTTAATGATCCACCAATAGTCAATAGTTTAACTGGATTAATATTTACATTGAACAGTATTTAAAGACAGATCAAGCTCTGCTTTATGGTAACCAGTAGGATTTTATATTTTGGTAAAAACTCACTAATATAATTTTTATATCAATTATGTAACTTTTGTCAATGAATCAAAGTGAAAATAAATGATTTGATAAGATTATGAAATAATGAATATAAAATGATTATTGTTATAAATTGATTAGATAATTATTGAATGTTGTTAATGATTCACTACAAGTTAATGTCAAACTGCTGTGCCAGTGCAACCAGTGCTTTGATTGGGTTCAAGAAGTCACAGATATCAAGTAACTAGATACCATGAGATTTTTTATATTTTTTTATAAGTGGTCCTACATACAATAAACATTATAAATTATTCCATTGTATTGATTTAGACATGGGATTGAATATCAATAATAAGATATGGAATACAATCATGATATACCCCATTCAGACAAAAACAATATAAAACAGTATATCTCCCATTACTGAAGTAACAGTGAACCAAATTATTGTTTCATTTAAGGACAATAAGGCTTATTTTTCACAGAACAATAATATTAGGCCTATAGAATGATCTTCAACACAAGCTGATGGGTGTATATAATATGATAATTTAGGCTCTCTGTCAATATCAAGTCATTATTTTTCTTTTTTTTCATTGCTGGAAGGGAACTTACATTTACATCTATATTTTTTAAGAGTTCATCTGAATTTCATGAATTTGTTTTCATTAGTTACATCATCAAATTCAAAAAGCCTTCATACTGCATATACTGGCCACCTATATTTTTCAACATTTGGAATAATTTTATAGAATTTAGAGGTCACTCAACAAGTTAAGTGTGGTTGACTCTCCAGGATAAATGCAGATGACTACCTGTAGACAGGTAAAATGATTATTCCTACCTGATTAAATGGTCTAACTCTTACAGCAACTTTAACACTATCACCATTAGACGCTGGCATTTTTTTTTCAAATCAAGATATTTCCACATAAATTTTCATTAGTTCCTTTGACAGCTTTTAGAGCTTCTTTGAACAATTATATTAGCATTCATCAATATATCTCTTATACCACAGTATTCAACCAATCAGCGATCAGTATTCAGGATTTCATGTGTCAATCAAAGTGCTATAAATAGATTAACACGTGTATTTGTTATGTCGAAGGAAATAAGGTTTGTTTGTTGACATTACCAACGGATCATGTACGAGACAAAAGGCTTTTAAAGGATTAAATTAAAAGTATATCTGATATAAAATACGGATATGAATCATAAATCAGAGCAAAATATAGAGGAATTTAATAATTTCGTCATGTTTTAGGTGTGCTGTACTCTCCCTTGTTCATAAATGTTATTTTAAGTATGTAGGCCTACTGTGCTAATCTGTTCAAATTAAGGCTTTTCATCCTCAAAACGGCAGTATTGTTTGAAGAAACGTAATAAAAGCTAATCTATGAAATCTAAGATCTGAAACTGTCACCATTATTTCAATTCCTATAAAATAATTTGCATGATGTCATACAGAAACCACCAAACTCTGTTTTTCTCACTTTTGATTAGTGTTGAGTCGATGTGGCAGTGTCTCTGGCTTTACCATTCATATTGTAATCTTTGGCTAAGTCAGATTTACTTTTAACATTAAAATTAAGGCACTATTCCAGTCTATGAATTTAATTGTACCAATTTACGTGATGTTTAAGAGCCATTACTAAGCTAAATGCATAACAAGCCTTTTTAAAGGTGACATCCAAGATGAGAAAAATTCAATAATTTACAGAATGTGGCCAATCAGGTGCTCCAAAACAAAATACATGTACATCTTTTTTTTTGATTCGAATTTTGAGTTCTTGTTAATGGAGAATTTGACTTGGACAATTGGATTTTGTGCAATCTTATTTAGAATATTGCCAAGTTTAAAATGTCTTAAGATTACTGACATCAGATCTACCTTGGATAGTTGCTTTAACCCTTTTAATGTTTTCATGTACTTTGAACAAAATTACCCTTACTCTAGCTAATATCATGGTAGATAAAACAGAAATGCGATATGATTTTTATGTCTCTGATGTTTGAAATTTAAACAAGGCAGAGTCACCGGTTATGTTTGGTCTCTGATATCTTATAAATTTTGGTTTTAAACAATTTCCTTGAATTAGATAATCGTCAATGTAGAGGGCCAAGGGTTCAAATCTAGCATTGTATACCGACATGGGTAATGTAGATCTAACCCGACACAGGTCCAGTTCTCAGAGGTACTAGACGAGTCATCAGAATTTTCCTAACTTTAGGTGGATTGCAACCCAAGGCATCTAATTGTGTAGCAAGCAACAATCTAACTACTGACAGAGCTATTGCATTGCTCATAAGTGACATGTATATCTGATAAGTTACATAGCTGTCAGTAGGTATTGAAACATCAAATAGATCTTTAGAAGATTAATTTATTATTATTCAACAAAAATGCAGAAACAGATACAATATTTAAAGATATAGTCCTTCTGGTGTGCCCTCATTCTTTCTATATAAGACATTTTCTTTAGCTTTCTTGAAGTCTTCATTGGTGATTTTCATTCTTCTTTCTCTGAGAGCTAATAAACCACCTTCAGTACATATAGCCTATAATTACAAAATAATTTAATTCAAAACATTTGGTTGTATTTTAACTCCTTATAAAAGAACACCATTTTCAAACCAGCAATCTCAACAGGCGTTTTAAGTCGAAAGAAAACAACTAATGCAGGGAAACCAACTGTGAAAGTGTCTGCAGAGACTGTAGAGTGGAAATAGAAGACAGACTGACTTAATGGGGGGACAACTGTCGAGGATGAGATTCAAAATGCGCCAGCTCTGTGGAAAAACATAACCAAGAGATTCCAAGAGATCATCTTAATTGTGATTCATGCCTTCTGACACATATTTTGGGGCAAAAATATATAAAAATCTGATTTCTTAAATTTGCTAATTAAGGTACAAATAAGAAAATACCTTGATATCAGCACCGGAGAGATCATCTTTAGACATAACATAATCATCAATATTAACATCATCAGCTAGAGTCATTCTACTAGTATGTATTGTTAATATACGACGTTTAGTTTTTTCATCAGGTAGAGGGAATTCTATCTTTCTATCTATTCTTCCAGGACGAATTAAAGCAGGATCTAGGGTTTCTATACGATTTGTTGCCATGATAACCTGAAACAGAGTTTTTATTAAAAGAATTAACTGGTACTTGTTATTAAGAGAGTCTTACTTAGTATATTGTACAGTGGTGTTTAACATCCTGCAGAGTGTAAATATTCTAAGATAGCATTTCAGGGACATTCAAAAGATATCTTATGTGCACAACTCATACCATTTAACCTCTATTTTACTTTTTAAATCCAACTGAATTTCCACATCTGACAAATTCCTTACGCTTATAAATTTCATCAGGCATGTAAAACCTTTCAGTGAACTAAAAATTTGAGTTACCAGCTGTAGAGCTAAATTTGACTATCTTCATCACTTTTCAATTAAAACCTGATGAAATAACTGCACAAAGAATGTGAATAGTTGAATGAGAACTGATTGTTAAATCTACATTTTGAAAAGTATACAGGTAGCTGAAAATAAAATCCTTCCAAAGCAGCTATTTAGATAACTATTTCCCTTTTAAAACTTACAAACATCCAGACTCTAATGACTTCAGCTATATAAGAGAAAGTAAGGAACAGTACACACCTTGACATCACCATGTGAATCAAAACCATCTAACTGATTTAACAATTCTAACATAGTTCTCTGTATTTCTCTCTCACCACCAGAGTTAGAATCATATCTGAAATAATAAACAACACAATAACTACTACTGAAAATATTGATAATGTCTAAGCCTGAAAACATGAACAACAGAGTCAAGTTTCCATTAGTGCTGGGTATCTCCAATCATGCCACTATACGATACATATCACGATACAAGGGTCATGATACGATACATATCGCGGTACAAGGGACACGATACGTATCGGTTAATGGGATAAAAGTTAGCATTTTATCTTCCAAGTTTCTATATACATTAATTCATAACTTTATGACTGTGATATTTAGTAATATAGTTGATAAAAGGGGTTAGCGTCCACTGTCTTTTAAAGAGCTAATAACAATTTCACTGAAAAATATTGTTATATCATAAACCAACTTAAACGAATCTCCACTTTTTTATGGAATAAAAAGTGTCGCCAAGTATTGATACACAACGTTGTGATACGATACATGTATCGTGGCATGCCGTATCACGATACACCAATTCACCGATATATCGTTCCAGCACTAGTTCCCATGCATTTTGCAGTGAAAATCTCAACCTACATATTAGATGTAATTAACTGAAATTTTTGATTGTGTTTCAAAATGATTATTTCAAGGTACTGACCTTTTTGTTCCGATAGCATCTATTTCATCAATAAAGACAATAGAAGGCGCATGTTCTTCTGCTACACGGAATAATTCTCGTACTAACTTAGGACCATCACCCTATAGCAGAAAATGATTATTTTGTGGCTGACTGTCTACATATAAAATACTCAAATATCTCACTGTATCAAGCAAGAAAGAAATCTTTTCCTTCCATAAACTTTAAATCTTTAACTCCTTGTTGACCAAATTTAGTCCAATTCAAATAAGCACTAACCAATAAAAAGTAATACTTTTAGAAGATAGACTAGACTAAATGGATTTTCTGGATTTTGATGGGATAAGGAAGGGGTGCGCATTATACACGCTTGCGCATTATATTCGGAAATATACAGTAATTGCATCTATTATTATAAATGATTTACTAACCAGATATTTTTGAATAAGTTCTGAACCGACAACACGAAGGAAAGTGGCTGATGTTTGATTGGCAACAGCTTTAGCCAATAAAGTTTTACCTGAAAACAAAATTAACAGTTTCAATTTAATGAAAAACATCTAAAAGTTAAACAGTTTCATAATTTATTGTGTTAAAATAGAAAATCTATTACTTGTTTATTCCACCCATAAAAGAGACAAAAGTCCACTAGTCTCCATTTTTATGGTCTGTTTTTGAATGATCATTCATATGATTATGTTATATATTCTTTAACATGGAGGCTTGCATATTATAATGGAAGTTAAAGTCTTGTAATGGAATGAAACTGAATTACAAAGAGCAATACTAAGGAAACAGAAATGCCAGTTAAGTAATCAATGTATAACTAACCTGTACCAGGTGGACCATATAAAATAACTCCTTTAGGTGGTTTAATACCCATTTCTTCATAATATTCAGGATGGGTTAAAGGTAACTCTACAGATTCCTGTAACAAAAAATCATTGGTCACAGCCATCTAGCAATGCAATATCAATAAAATACATTGAATCTACCAGAATGAACTACTCTGAATTGTAACTGCTGTTTGATGATATTGTTAAATTAAATGTGAGGTGTTTTTTTTTTTTTTGACCTTTATTGCTATGAATGTTTAGAACAAGATCTTTTTTGGGGTACAGTGTTCTAAATTGCGTTTTCGAAAAAATGTCATCTGTCAAGTAATAACCCAAATGGGTTTACCTTGATTTCTTGTATCTGAGAATCTAAGCCACCAATATCAGCATATGTTTCTTGTGGTGCCTTTTCTAACTTCATGACATTGACCATAGGATCTGTATCATCAGACAATACACCAACTACAGCATGTACCTTTAATAAATATACAATGTTTGTCAAGCTCATGCAGAAAATACAATAAGGTCGTATTTTATACTTATACAGCTACCCTTTTTTTTTACCATAAACATATCTTTTCTAATTCATCCACATCTTCACAATGTCAAGCTATTACGAACTTCGTACTTTTATCTTGAGTGCACTATTCTTTTATCACAGAATGCAGTGATTTGAATGAATTGTACGCCAGTGAATACAGCCAATCAGAGCCTTGCAGTAACCTTTATTACTTAAGTTCACAGACTTACTGTCAAGGCCTCTGACTGGCTGTATTATAATTCATACTGAGAATGCCTTCCTAAGCTAATTCACTACCAACTTACCTTATGATTTAATAAAACAGAACAGCCTGGTTCCAGTTGGTCTTTATCAACAAATGACAGAATACTAACATAATGTTCACTACCAACAGAAGTGGAGACAATAGCATGATTATCATCTATAATTTCTTCCATATTACCAACAGACATTGGTGATCCCCTCAACTCATCAACTTTAGTTCTTTCTTCCTATAGTAAGTAAACAAAAAGACATCTTTATTAAGGCAAACATATCTAACACATCTTTTACCTCAATTGCTTTGCGCAATAAAGATATAACAAGACAGCAACCCCAACACAGAACAATCACAAGATTAATAATAGAAAATAATAGACTATAAGCTGATATATTGAATCAGATTCAAATCCTGTTTGCCAGTTTAAGGGTTTTTTTTTTAAATCTTGGGTACCAGCTGATTCCCATACGCCTAAGATTGTTGCAAAAAATTGTTGGTCGCTTACTTCATGTTTTTCTTCTTGGGGTTTAAGTCTTTCTTGGTTTTTGATAAATTCTTCTTCCATTAACAAATAATCTTTTATTCTTTCTAACTTTAACAGCTTCAGTCGACATCTTGTGTATGGTGTGACTGAAATCAAATTAGGAAAAATGAATATATCATGCCTGTATTAAAATACTGGTAAATCAAATTTTGATGGTCTTGGCACCTAAAACTGAATATCAGTCTGTTGTGGTAAAATACCAAGGTATCATTGCGGATAGAAACAAAAGTGTTCTGTAATAGGTGCTTGGGGCATCCACAAAATGAATGCCTGAAATTTTTTTATAGAGTTTACCTTGTGGAAGTTTTGTAGCAGCATCAGGTCCCTTCAACTTCTTCTTCTTTTTCCCAACTCTAGTAGGTACTGGTGGTTCATACTTCTTTTTCTTATCCTGCAGGAATTAGATTAACAAAAAAAATATCAAGAAAGAGGCTTGTAAATTGTCAGCAATCTGTACTGGTAAATGTACATCTGTTACTTAAAGAAAAATAATAAAATAATGTATGGTACAATTACAGCTTACAATGATCCTGATACTGACTGACTAATAGCCTATTGATACTATAGGCCTACTTGTTATTGTTAATAATGTTCATTGATAATGATAAGCTAAGCCAAGGGATTATCACAAGCATTAACACCTTGACAGAAGAGAAAGAACCCTGTTTAGCACCCCACCTTGTCATCAGATTTATCTCCTGCCCCGCCGGTTCCTCCGGATTGCTTTTGTCCCTGAAAAATATAAGTGGTAAATGTCATTTCTGGAGAGAAAGAGTATGCTATTATCGAGATTTTTAACATGGAAAACAGCGCCTATTTTTTACATCCTGTTGATGAAAACATCTACATTATATTAAATTCATCGCTTAGACTGCTTCTAGCATCTATTACCTAAAGTAATTGCCCAATGTATATATAGCTTTTGAAGTGTCGCATGTTATTTTTGAGGTGTGTTTAAATGGTGGCAAAAGTTAGTAATTTATCAATATCTATAATTCATATATTCGTTTCAAAACTAAAATCTTATGGTCTATGTTTAATTATATGCAATATTTAATCATAAATACTATATTATATACAGTATGTAGGCCTACATGTATTATAGTCTGTTAATACAGTCAAGTAACCTTATTTCGTGCTAACTTATTTTTTGTGCATACCCGGAAATTAATAATTTACGTGTGCGGTCTCACGTGACCTCTGCATTTGCATGTTTTGATAAACATGGGTTATTTGTACAATGTCAGCTAGTAGAATGAATCCAATAGTTTCAAGCAAGGTAAAATGCAGGCTATTAATGTATACATTGACAAATACAAAATGGCGGATTTCAGTTATTACCAAACGTCACAATTTTTTTATCGACCGAATTTCCTTATTGTTTCAAGCTGTAATCGGAATTCCAAGTGTCGTCTGCTAGAAATGTAGTCCAATGAATGAAGTCATGTGATACACAAGCGGATTCCATGTCAGCAGAAAAATTCTATGGAACACAGTGTGGGCCATATTCTTTTGATGTTTCAAAGATTTTTAGCAATAAATTGCGCTACGTATCTTATTATGTCAGTCACTATTTTTATGTATATCAGGGTTCTTTGAAGAAATTGTCACTAGTTATAAAGAATTGATATTAAAGATAAATACTAAGAGAAGCTAATTATACCATTGGGTAACCATAAAACATGTTTTTCTCAACCTATTTACAGATCAATCATCAATGCGACCTCCGCATTAGTTTGTTTTGAAAATACTGAATTTATTCTACTAGCTGATATTGTAGAGAAAACCCACGTTTATCAAAACAAACTAATGGGGAGGTCGCGCAAGGTCGCTCATGTAAATTATTAATCCTTTCCGGAAATCCACGAATAATAGGTTTCCACGAAATTAGGTTACTTGACTGTAAGTTATAGGTTACACCAGTGTACTATTTTTTTTTCTATTTCTATTTCTATATTTTTATTTTCTATATATATTACATCTTTTTGCTGTGAACGAGCTATTTTTAATAAAAGAGTATCAGATGAGGCATTGATATTTATTCATCAACCAAGATAGAATGACAAATAGTGCAACAAAGCTCGCTTTGTTTGTTGAGTGAATGAATAAGCAAATTTGAGAGAAAGAGGAAGGATTTGAAGACAATTTCATTCATGATCTCACGTCAAATTATACAGGGTTTAAGGTTTTCACAATCCTAGAGATTGACACATGCAATAAACTATATGAATGTTGAGTTACAACATACAATAGTTGTGTTAATAGATAATTTAAAAAAGATTTATTAAAGTAATGAAGACTCACTCACCATTTTAACGGATGTTTAAACTACGCATGCGCCAAGAGAGGTACGGTAACTCAGAATTTTCATTATAATACCCACCATTAAAAAGTTCAATTGACATTGAATGGATTTTTATTCAATGTTCTTCATAATTTTCAATTATTAAAAAATTCTTGCCAAAAATATCCTCAAATACAAATCTACAAATACAAATCTAGCTCAACATATCTTCAAATGCAAAACGTCAAACACAAAACTTTGTACCGGTACCAACAAATGTTCAAATACAAATGTCCAAATGTTCAAAAATACAAATGTTCAATAACAAATCTCGCTCAACACATCTTGCGAAACATTTCTTCAAAGACATATCGAATAGGCCTATATTTATTCAAACGCAACATTGAAGCTGATATTTCAATTCATAAAAATACCTTTTACCCGCGCAACTGTGCCACGTACGTTTATTTGAAAAATCGACCAACGTGGTCCAAATGGTGCAAGTGTTTTCGACCCATCTCAATAACAGCAACCATGATATATAAACCCCATAGAAGTAGTTTTCGATTCAGAAAATAGCCCTTACTTTTACTCTTCGCTGCCAAACTGAAGTAAATGTCGAACAAAATGGAACCCGAAAATTCACTAAAAAACACGTCAGGAAAAGCGTAATGCCTCATATAGGAATATAACTACGTAGCAACACAACAAATTTATACGTATTATGGATTATAATCATATTTTATGGTTAATAATGACTCTTATTGATCATCCATTTACTGGGCTCTAAACAAGTCAATGGAAAATTTAATCAGCTGACGGGGCCCGATGACGTATTCCAATGTAAAGTCTATGGAGAATTATCCATGTTCTGACCTAGATTGTACTTGAAAAAAAAAAAAAAAAAAATGCTTGATACCTCTGACAGTTTTCGAAGAGCAGTCTGTCAAAGTTTTGGTCTTACCCCCACCCCGCAGTAAAATGGTCATAACTTCGCCAATTTTGATCCCAGAGGTATGATTTTTGTTGCAAACGCAAGTTGAACATGTCTTCTATCTATTTCGGTCGAAAACAGAAATTCGGATTTTTTTAAATCTTTCAGGAAAATCGACTATGAAGTTCCACCCAAATTTTCAAGAGCGAAATTTGCTTATATTTTGGTTAGGGAAAAATCTGAAACTCAAAGTGCTCTAACAGGCAGAGTTTTCACGGTAGGGACTTGAATTTAAAACATAACAACTTCCAATAGGTGTATACCTTCAGTGCAAATTTCAACTTCCCAGCTCTGATAGCCGTCGAACAAGAGCCTGTCAAAGTTTTGGTCTTCACACCATTGAAAATGCAGTGCAGAAAGACGCTATAGGCAGACTGCCGACCCCACCCCTGAACTAAAAAGGCCATAACTCGGTCAATTTTGACCCAAAAGGTATAATTTTTGTTGCAAACGACAGTTTAACATGTCTCCTTTCCATTTCAGTCGAAAACAGAAATTCGGCTTTTTTGAATACTTTCGAGAAAATCGACTTTCAACTTCCACCCTGGTTTTCAAGAGAAAATTTCAGATAGGTGTGGACCTTCAGTCCAAATTTCAGCTTGATATCTGTGATAGTTTTCGAAGGGCAGCCTGTCAATGTTTTGGTCTTACCCCCAACCAGCGCAACAGGACTGTCGGACCCCACCCCGCCGTAAAATGGCCATAACTTCGCCAATTTTGACCCCAGTGGTATGATTTTTGTTGCAAACGACAGTTTAACATGTCTCCTTTTCATTTCAGTCGAAAACGGTAATTCGTATTTTTTTTAAATTTTTCGAGAAAATCAACTTTCAACTCCCACCCTGGTTTTTGAGAGGAAAACTGCTTATATTTTGCTTCTGGGAAAAAGTCTGAGACTAAAAGTGCTGTAACTGGTAGAGTTTTCACAGTGAGAACCTGACATTTGGAACACAACAACTTCAAATGGGTGTGGACGTGCAGCCCAAACTTCTGCTTGATATCTCTGATAGTTGTCGAACGTCAGTCTGTCAAAATTTTGTTCTTAACCTCAACCAGTGCAAGAGGACTGTATAGGCGGGCTGTCGGGCCCCCAAACCAGTTTAACATGTCCCTCATCTATTTCAAAAGAGAAGTTCGGATTTTTTGAAAACTTTGGAGAAAATCGACTTTCAAGTTCCACCCTGATTTTGAAGAGGAAAATGGCTTATATTTTTGTTTGGGGGAAAGTCTGAAACTAAAAGTGCTGTAACTATCAGAGCATCCACGGTAAGGACTTGAAATTTGGAACATAACAACTTCAAATTGGTTGGTAGTGAGGGACAAAAATTACACTGATTTTGAAGTAGGTGGGAGTAGGATTGGGGGCAATAGTTGCGTATAAGATTAATGTTAGGATATTCTACTTCATTCTGATATCAATGTATACATATATTCAACAATTAACTGTTTAGTTTTTTTGTATGTATCTCAAACAATAGGGTAACTACTAGCTGTAGCTATACCACAATTATTGTTCCTATTTCTAGACATCATTATATACCCATTCATACCATAGTCTAATCCAAATCTGTAATATAAAATAACGAATCCTATTAAACAATATTTAATGTCTTAAATTTGGGCTCACCGGATTGCGTTCGAATTGACAAACCCAATTACTAATTATCCTGAATAGTCTAAGGGCCTCGTCTTTGAGAGGTTACTTAACTTTATGCTATATTCGATCATATTCTGACTAGTGTGCTAAGAAATCTGCATGGTATTGAACGCATATTGCTGACATTACTTATTACTGTTAACATTTCATTTTCAACACCAGTTTCCAAAATTCCTTAAAGGTAACCACACTCTTTGATATTTTGAACATTCGTCATATATATAGAAGCCGACTTCCGCGACAAGTTAGTTGTTTCAAATTGGTCTTTGCAAAGTCCTTCGAAAATTTATAAGAGGACTTACACTTCTCTAACCATATAGTATTCAGTATTATTATAAACACCATAACCAGTTGCTACATTTGCATGATCTAACTGGTCACTTTTGCAATTTGGTTCATAGTAAACACCTTTAGTATAAAACTGAAACGATGGGTTGGACGCATCAATAGCTGTGCTGATAGGACCAACTTCCGCTATTGACTTCTGTAGAGCCTGCTCGTTTCCTTTTGGTATATCAACATAACGGGATAATGTAGCACCAACGTCAGCTCTTTTGAATTGGCATTTACCGTTCTGAAAATAATTCAAAGTATATTAATGTTCAAGAGACAACCTATTTTCAACATAGTGATAGTAATATCTTTAAGAAAATTCAAAGCTTATTCTCTTTTAATTAAATAATGGAGAAAATAGTTGCTTTCTTGGAGCAAACAAAATATGACGAAACAACGAATGTGAAAGTATTGCTAATGCAGCTTTAGATATGTCACAAATGTTATTAAGAAGCAGATTTCTGTAAAAATCCTGCGAATCAAAGAAAATGGTTGCCTCGAAAGAAACATGTGCAAATGATATTAGGCTTGATTACATAAAACATCTTCAAGGGACAGATTTTTGGATGTTTATTTGGCTCTTAAATATATGTAAGTAGTCTTCAGAAGTACAAGAAATTTACGAAGAACTATATATATATATATATTTCTTGAGACTAAGATAGGATTGGTCAAACGAATGGCGAATCTGTGCCTTTAATTAAACTTGCACTATTATTTTTCTTTTATCATCATGACCTTCTTGCATCAAAAATATTGTGTACTCTATCTACTGATCTATTATCTTATTACTAGTAAAATACAGTGTACAGGACAAGTATTTCGATGCCTCGGGACAGCAAATAATCCATACCATAGCTTTATAAGGATAAGACACTTCTGTATCTACTCCATTATTTTTCTTTATGTATAAAAATGCTGAATCCATTAAACCTCCTTCACAGCCGTAATTACCTAAAATAGAATTAATCAATTAATTATTAACTTCACAATATTTAGAATTTCCCTAATTAATTATCACTTCAAATATATAGAACAATGATATCGCTCTACAATTGATGTATTTTAACTTTATGTATTTCTAGAATAACAATTTTTGATTTTTGGATGCTGGATTCTATGTGTACTCTATCAGAAACCAATTGCCTCTCTGCGCTTGTACTTTTCAGCTTCATCTTTCCATTGTGAATCTACCATACTAACTGTCACATACCATACCTTCTTTTTGTGAACAATCCATAAGATTCTGTGCTGATAAAGTAACCAACTTTCCTGTTTTCTTGAAATGTTGACCTTCGAGGGCACCAAGTGCGGAAAATGCCCAACAAGCACCACATTGTCCCTAAAAATTATTATAATGAATTTTTATTCAAACCTGCAAAAATCAATTTAAAGTTGATATAACGTGAGTGACCTACATGCGAGAAAATTAATTTCACCTGTAGATGTTCCTATAGTTATTGTGAATGAGAAAGACAGAGCTTCTAGATAATGTATCGATTTTTGTGAAATAAAAATGATTTATGTTCGTAATTATTTCTCTTAAGATATCAAAATCGGATGTATATTAAGTAAAGCTTTATTAATCTGTAGTATAAAGATAGATCTAAGTACTGGATATTGGCAATTATTTAGATTCGTTACTGAGTTACCGGAATTATGTTCTTCCTAAGCACTAACCGAATCTTAAGAGTTCATGTAGTGGGGGTGACCTTGTTTTTAGCTATGGACATTGCTATTTAGAATCATAGATATGATTTGACATACGGACTGGATACTGACACTCTGGGTTATTTAGCAATGCACTATCAATTGGGTGTCATAACGCTAACACAAATTCAGAAAAACAACATAAAGTGCATATATTGAAATGATTAAAGAGAGTTACGCACGCGACTCTCGCGGAAATCGCTAGATATTTTATTTCAATCCTATGGGTTATCAGATAAGATTTGAACGACATTTAGAAACGGGGGCACTTAAGAAGTGTGTTATACCATAATATATTCCCTTGTTTTTTGGAATATCTAAGATTCTTCAAGATAAAACGTTACAATTGCATCTTCATTCTGTGTACAATATTTGCACAATACATCTTTTTGAGACGTACCTCATTAGGAACTGGTCCGACATATCCTTTCTTTCTCCAATCAACTTCTGTAGGAAGTTCTGTGATATCTGCCCTCCTATTGGAAATAGATTCCGTTAGTTTATGAACTGTTTTCCGGTATGTGTTATGAACTTTTCTGAATTCCTCATTAGTCTGAAAGAAGTAATTATAAACATGCCATTAATTATCGTAGACATTTATGTAGTTAATTATTTCATATGGATGACTTGATATCAAGTTTTTGCTGTGTATTTTAATGTATATAAACCTTGTCTGTTTCATATTGAAAGTTACTTTTGAAATTATTGCGAGTTGAAAGTGCTCAATACCGACTTCCGAGTACCTGTATTACTTTCAAGAATGAAAATCCGAGGTATGGTTCCATTGCATGTCAATAAACTTCTCATGTGTAGTATTTATCGATTATGTGAAAATTAAGAGTATGAAAAACGCTTGGATAACAGTTGTATGCGATTTATAACATTATCTATATCACCCTTTCAATCAGAGCCCGTTTGGGAGTTTAATTATTTGCTCACCATATCTGCAAATTTGTTAACACCCAACCAGAAAGTATGATGACCAGAATCTGCTAGTTTATTATGTTCATTGATATAATCATAATTGGCTTCCCAAATTTCTCTTCTGAAATAGATGAAAACAAATTTATATCAGTTTTCCCTGTTTGGCTAATACTTAATTGAAATTATTCTACAAAACCCTACATCTTAAAAGCAATAGGTGACATTTGATGTTCTATTTCAACACCAAAGTTGAAAGTAAACAACTCGATCAAATGTTATTAAATATTCTTACAAGCACTCGTAATCCTCACAATGCCAATTTGTCTTCCTCTTATGCAATAGCCAAAATTCTTATATCAAGGAATGCAGCGATTTGATTGGATTGTAAGCCAGCGAATACAGCCAATTAGAGCCTCCGAAAGAAAGACTGTGACCATTATGCGTTTTTTTTTTACAGACTTGGCTGTATTTGCTAGAGTACAATCCAATAAAATCGCACCACGTAAAAAGTTCCGTTATACAGAAAAAATGGCTCAAGGAAGTTTGTAATAGCTTGACATTGTGGATATGCTTTAGAAACAGACATAGGTTGACTGGATTGGAATCACGATACGAGGCCAAATTAATATCCTTTCTTTGGCATTACTTTCTTAAAGGTAATTCTATTCCCATAATATTGAAAGTATAGATTGCATTTAAGAAAGAGCTTAAGGTAATTGATAAAAGAAGTAGATCAAAAAGATAGTCAATAATTAAGTATCAGTTATTTTAAAGGTATACTTCCTCTTCAGATGAATACAATATTGAATTTTTAAACTTGGTTAGAATAAGTCTTAGTTTATCAATGGACTTCCCTGATGTCATAACTATACAACAGAATCCCTCTATAATCCAATAAATCCATACAACTAATAATTCATTAAACTAAGTTATTTTGAAATATGCTTTGAAGCGTTTTTCAATAATTATCTAATTATATAAAGATCGTCTTATATAGAGATTCTATTCTTTAGTCATAGCACCAGGTCCTGGTAAGTACGCCCAAACTTAATACACTTATTGACCAAGTGCGAAACTATAAATTCTTTGTCCTATCTAAGAGGTATTGACCTTTTAACATTAGATAGTTCAATAATAGGTCGGTCTGACTCTGAGAGACACATTTATCAATTACACTAGAAGATCAACTGGGAATACATACATTGTTAACATCATTTCAAGTCTGCCATAAGTATTTTATACAACATTATAGTTGAAGGGCATCCATCATTCAAATAACACACATGGAAATTATTGCAACATACGGGGTGGTAATTCATATACGTGTTCGCCTAATACAGATACCATAAATAAATCGAAATTAAAGGGAATTTGACTTCATCTGTGCACTCTTGGGCTAATACGGTGGTAAACGCCATGTAGTAAAGTGAGCATCAAGAAGAATTCGGTCACGATGCTGACATTGCATTTTCCTGTATATAGATGCTACATGAAAATAACTGTAAACATGTATAATTTGCCATAATTGCGTCAATATATATGACAATTTTCTTAACTCAAGGCTACCTCTCTCTTTCTTCTAAATCCGATTTGTAATCTCTAACGTAATCTGCTTTGAATTGTTCCCATTCTTCGTTCAATTCCGGTGTTAAACACCAAGTTGAACTCACCAACGATAAACACAAGATAACTTTCAACATCTGAAATGTTCAAACCATCGTGAAATTAACATGATACACGATTTAACTGTATGGTATACTACTCTTAGTTTTATAGTACACAACGTTTCAAAAATTTACATTGTCGTCATCAGGTGCAAGAAATGCATGATACGGATTCTCATATCCACTTGGTTCTGTGAGTAGCAGCACATCACCTTAAACGGTATTGACTTATCCTTAAATATTCTTAGGAATCGTAATTATAGGGATGGTAAAGATCTTTACTAGATTTTGTATTAGTATCGGGAACACTAATAGCATCAATTTGCACCATTCCATTTTTCAAAAATGATTGTTTGACATATTAACGCCCTTCGCACTAAGTGACGCCATCAAACACTTAGTTTTAGTGCCCCGGCCCCGGGGTGTGAAAGGTCCAGATGATTGCTCCAGGGATGTGAAGGCTGAAAAGGGTTGGGAACCACTGTTTTAGTGGAATTGCAGGATTCACAGACGTCTGATTGAAAATTGAAATGGTGAAAATCGATGATATCCGTGTCTCGATACACACACAAAAATTAGAAAACCTCATTACAAACCCTTTAAGAATTATCATATTATAAAATCAGATTTCTCAAATAAATTGAACTTAATAGAAAGAAAACACGTACCGTTTTACAAGCGTATCAGAATAACCGAAAATGGTGGTTTGTAGTTGGACGAAATCAAGTGTGATAAACATTACAATATCATATATCTAATTTAACGATATCTTTCATGTATCTTCTTTATCATGTCTCGTGTATCAATCATATGTCTAGGTATATTCCCTTACCGCCTAGATTACAACGTACAAGTAAAATCACAAGATCGTACCTTAAGATTCGATTATCTTGTTGGTTTATTCTATAACTGCAATAACAGTGGCGTCCCCCACACAATGTTTTATCACTTAGTCAAAAGCCTGATTGTTAGCACTTCCAAAACAACAGTTATAGGTTAGGTCTAAAAGTTCTTCGTTGTGGCTTGCTATCAGATTCAAGGGGAGTTTTGACACAAGATAAGCCCATTAGGTTGTGCTGTAAAAGTAACAGTTGGTATTCGGGCCCATTGCAAGGTTTAAAAATATAGCGACTCCTTTCTCAGATCTGCAAATTTAAAGGGCTTTAGTCGCCTGAATACTTGCTTTATCTGATATTCAAGTCATTTGTCTTGTGCACGGAAACAAAAAATCATATCACTTCTGTGCTGGTAAAGCAAATATTGAGACGACTATATCCAGTCAACTTTACACGGCGATCATTGACCTAAAAGCTACTTTAAAGGGTAACAACCAGATTCAGCTATTCCGAGAACAATACTTGAAATCATACATTGATGTTTGTTCAGCACTTAACCATATAAAGTATTGTAATTGTAAATTGGAAAATATTTATCAGCCACGATCGATGTTTCGTTCTGTCAATATGAATTAAATCTGGTTACTGGTTAATGACAAGAAAAACTTCAAACGAGACCACATCAGATACTTATCGAGCTCACAAAACGAGATAATACAGAGAAAACACCTTTTGTTTTGAATTGGTAATATATTCAAATATTATACATGTATAAAAGAAAAATATTTATAACAAAAAGCAATTATTGCAAGGTGTTAATGGAAACGTCTGAAACAATGTAAATTACAAAACATAATATAACATGGGACCACCTACAATCAAATACATCGTGCTATATATCCAGCCAAAGAAACTTGATTTTAGTTTTCTAGGATATCATTTGCATATTGGTATCTCTTATCTAAAGTTAGCAGTTCCTATATATTTTATTGTTGGAGGAAATGAGATTCTTTAATCAATAAAAATGATATTGTTGGTACGAACTCTATTTATTATTTCACCAGCGTTATACCATCCAGATAACTCTAGTGTCCATGATGATGGTCTGTAAACGTACAAAACTAAAACCACTGATCAATCAATCAAATTTCGAGTTTCAAATATCCTTCAAGATCACGACCTCTTCGTCTATGAGCAGTAGAGATGTATCAAGTAGTTCCACATTGAACGAATCCCCTAGTCAAGTATGGAAGACATTATGCATTTTTCCAATGCCAACACGATTTAAAAATTCCTATTGTTCACAATAAATCTTCGTCTCCTTCTATCCCAAGGCGAGTCACAAAAAAGTTTGAAATTTTTCGAGTCATAGAAGATTTTCTTCTTGCAGCTTCATCTTGTATCTTTTCTCGGGTGTCTTGAGGCATAATCATTTTTTCTGGATCACAAAGAGCATTTCTGCGGCAATAGAACCGGCTTGAATTTGTCACTATCGGTACGGCGAACCTAACTTTGGTGGGTTTAGATTGAGAAAGGTTAGGAGTTGACTCATGACGACTGAAAGCCAAATCATGGTTTTGAGGAATATTTTGGACGGTACTAGTAGATCTCGTCATTCGTGGACTACCGACAGGACACACTGAAGATTTCTTAGTCTTGTTGAGTTCCAAATGAATATGATTATGTTGCAGACTTTGAGATCTCAATGCTTTCAAAACAACCCTTTGTTCAGAAAATGTGATAAATTCGTTCTGAGGGACATAGTCCACAGCATCACAGGCAGATCGCGTTCCATGGAAACTAATGGACTTGCGCAGAATCTTTGGACTGACTGTAGAAGCTAGTCTACTTCTGAAATTATTACCGTCTACTGCATCCGGAGTAACATTCATGCTATGCTTCACGTCTTGCTTTACAGATACTGGTCCTTTGCTGATATTGTTATCCATATCAACCGAAATGACCAAAGCACTGGGAGACGTGACCTTTTGCGAAGAACACTGGCCATTGAAACCATTTTCCATTTTCAGGTTTTTTCTCTATCCATTTGATCCAATAAAAGCACATCCATTGACACCCAAATCCTCTTTACGCATGTGACAATCCATCTCAATCAATAAAAATAGTTCAAGAAACGTATATCTGTAAAGAATATAATATTATCAGATCAAGCTTTGAGGATCATTAAAGCTTCTTCCGTATTGGCGTTTTCTAGATTACATTACTCTGGTCGTGGTAACATAAAGTGTATCTTGCCACAAGAAATCACTCTGTTAAATATTTCATTGTAATCCATACTATATTGTTATGATAACACTAATGAAAACGATACATTACATATAAACTCACTTACTTAATAACAATGTGCGATAACCAATTAAAAATTGTAATGAAACTACGAAACTATCGATTACTATTATAAATTTTCCTGTAATTCAACATGTCTTTGATTCTACAGTTTGAATGAGTATGATATCCCATATACACAATATGATATATCCATTATGATTTGATAGCTGCCATCCTTCTCATGTTCTCTATCAAACGCAGTACAAATCCGACGCAAGTGCACTTAAAGAGTCATGAAACCAGAAGCAGGCAGAACTTGATCAATTGATCCAGCACCGTCGGGGTTTCAGGAATTAAAAAGCATTATCCATCAGCGCTATTCATTTAAAAACTCTATAGCATTAGTGAAAATGTCACAGATAAATTAATACGTTTCTTTGTTGACGACTCAGATTAATCAATATTTCTAATGAAGAATTGCCATTATTAACGACATACGAATTATTAATTTTTTCCTGTTTCGTCAAACATAGGTAATTTCATTAACTTCGTTATATTCCTGAAAACCCATTAGACTACTTATATCAAGGTTGAACAAGGTGTTTTAAGAGTTCAGGGTGAATTATTGCTTTCACTACGATTAAGCATCTGCTTCAACAAATATATTGGGGGTTTTTTTACAGTCAATATAATGGTTTTTACAGTCTTGCTGGCTTATTCCATTGTAGATATATCATGCAACATGATTTTTGCGACGAGAAAGGCTAGGGCAAAGCCGGGTTAGAGGTGGTGGCCTATGGAAGTAGTTTGGGACCCCTCTCCTGGGAATTTAGACGTGTTTCAGCCATGTGGTTGTTTAGCAACTGGAGATTCTATTGGGGAATAAGATATCACATCCGAGATATTTAGTTTAATTAGATATACATGTACACCTTTGTTAATTTGAGATTGCATGGAGACTGAAAACTACAAATTCGTGACTTACACCTCTAGCCTAGAATGGTTGTTTAGAGGATACAGTGCCTACAAGCACATAGACTTCAACAAGTCCTTTATAAATTTCTGTTTACCAAACATTGGATTCGTCTGAAATAACAAATTCATTCGATTCTGCCATTAATGGTCATACGAAAACACGTGTAGAAAATTGAGATGAAAATAAAACTGTTAATTGTAGATATCTCTTACTGCAAAACATCTTTGGCAGAGGTTTACTTAAAGTAATGGAATTAAATAGAAATATATATATCACGTTTCGCATAATAAAGGGACAGTCAGGTAGCCGGACTAGGCACTGTGGGATTTTTAATTACAAAACCGTGAATGAACTATTACGATTTCAACGATAGTCATAATCAACGGTTTGAATGAAAATATCCCGTTATTTTCTGTGATAATATAAGGAAGTAAACAATACTTAGATGGTATTTAAAGACTTGCGGCTTTGGTTTTAGCCTCATTAATTAAATCGATTGGATTTAATTTTATGTAGAGAAAGTGGAATGTAATGCTCTTATCTTAAAAACAACAGAAGCTAGACGAGACTCAGTCTGAAGAACTGGAACAATATAAAAGATTTATATCCATCCATCTGCAAGGTTTAGTGGTAGTACAACTTCATCTAAGATGTTTAAAGTGTAGGCTATATTAGTGTAATGTAGCAAGGACGTGCTAAATAATGCCTTATCTGTAACGTTGACCTGCTGTTCACTTTGTTCTTCTGTTTTGAAGTCTTAAGTCTTAAACCTTGGAGTCATTACTACAAGCTTAAACATATGCGCCAAAATTAGCAATTGTTTCTCCGCCACACGTCAGTAGTCCTACGTCAGTCAACACGTTAAACACGTCAGTCGACACGTCAAACACGTCACACGTCAATAAGACTGACATCACGTTTGAGGGCTAAAAACTTAGACAGTGGTGGCTTGGGTACAAACTATGCCAGACTGACTTAATTGTAGAGGAGGGGGGAGGGGGAGATTCAAAATGCGACATCTGTGGATTCGCTAAGCATCTGAAAGGGTTCTCCACAAAAACAAAAAACATTTGCTGCAAAAACGTAAAAAAATAGCAGTGTGCTTTGGGGATACAAATAATAATCCAGCCTCCCAACCCAGTACCCCACCGTTGTTGGAACAGATCAGGACTTGCATGATAAAATAGAAAGAATTCTGATTGAAATGAAGGGAAAAGGGCGATCAGATGAGGTTTTCTTCTAAAACACGTTGCTAGAGATATGAATATTATTATGACACGAGTGTAAATATTGCCTTGCATAGAATAAGCTATTATATAACATAACATGAAGCAATTAAACAGTATATTATAAATATATATTTGTATATCAAGCACTGGAAAATAATGTATATATAATTCGATATATGTTAAAGAGAACTTACCTCTTAGAATGAACATTAAATTCGACTTGTCAAACTTGGCCAATAACAGTATATATTATCCATCAGTGGACTTACCTGATGTCATAAAAAAACAACAGAATCCCTGTAAAATCCAATAAATCCAGGTGAATATATACTCTTATTGGCCAGGTTTGAAAATCTAAATTTTATATTCATTCCAAGAGGTAGTATTCCTTTAAAGGGATACTATCGTCTACGTAGGCAAAGAGACACAAAGAAAAATGTTAATGTCACATTGGCATTTTTCAGGTTCCAAGATATACCATGAAATCATTTTCATAGTTGGCAGCAGAAATCATTGATAACTAGTGTGACAATTTTTAGTAAGAATGATTATATGAGTTAGTAAGTGAGTGATTAAGCTACAATTTTGATTAATTTTTGACTAGTTTGATAGATTGTATATAATCATTGTAATTCCCTGGTTATTATAATGCTTACATGATTACATTTTACAAAATACATATTGAAATAGATATGTGCATAAATATTGTTAACATATTGTTAGTCAGCAACACAGATTACTAACAAAGTATACATGGGAAGGTATACAAATATATGGATATCTTTTATCAAGTACAGGATTTGTAATATAAAAGAAAGATCTCAATCAACAATTACAGTTTGTATATTAAAAAATAAGTTCTCAATCAACAAGTACAGTTTTGTTATATCAAAATCAAAGTTCTCAATCAACAAGTGCAGATTTTTATTGTAAAAGAAAGTTCTCGATCAACAATTACAGTTTATAATATTAAAATATAAGTTCGTAATCAACAAGTACAGTTTAGTAATATTAAATAAAAGTTCAAAATCAACAAATACAGATTTGAAATATCAAATCAGTTCTCAATCAACAAATATACCCTTGGTATATTAAAATTAAAAGTTCTCATTCAACAAATACAATTTTATGATATGAAAATCAAAGTTCTCATCAACAAATACAATTTTATGATATGAAAATCAAAGTTCTCATCAACAAATACAATTTTATGATATGAAAATCAAAGTTCTCATCAACAAATACAATTTTGTAATATCAAAATCAAAGTTCTCAATTAACAAATACAAAGTTCTAAATCAACAAATGCACATTTGTAAATTTAAAATCAAAGTTCTCAATCGACAAATACACATTTGCAAAGTTAAATTCAAAGCTCACCATCAACAAATTAACATCTGCAAAGTTAAAACAAAAGTTTTGAATTTACAAATACAGTTTTTCTTTCATCAACAAGAATAAAAATAAGCAAAGATTCACAATAAAAAATCAAAACAATGAGGTCATGTAAGGGTGTGATCAAAATTTCTAATAAGCTAATGCTGTTGTAAAAATTCTTTGAGAAAAGTCTCTAGATCATTTGTCAATGGCATTTATTTTAAAAGGGAATGAAAAGAGGTTTTGTATAGGAGACACTGAAAGCATCAATTTGCTCCATTCCAATTTTCAATCAGACATCTGTGGTTCTTGAAATGCCACTAAAATTAAGCTGAATTAAACTGAAAATTGAAATATGGCAAATGAATGATATCAGTGTGCTCAATACACATCAAAAGTTTAAACCTCTTTACGATCCCTTAACAATATAATATAATTATATATGATATGCCTGAGACACATGTCGTTTGAGGGTTTTAAAGGGACAGGTAGGCCATTTTTTTGACCCGTAGTCTTAGAAACTGGAATTTTTTAGCTGAGTTAATTAGTAATAGTGGCCACAGCTCACCTTCAAAATTTGAGCCTTCAAATACATGTGTGTCCAGTATTATCTGTGTTTGAATGTTAAAATGACGAATCGTCAATTTTAGAAACCCTGTGATATATAGAAAAGACATATTTAGAAATAATGAGAATTTTTAAAGGAATTTTGTGATTTTCATACATTTCTAGTACTTCTGAAAACTATTTTCACACCTGCCACTTTAAATTAAACTCTTCTGTATAAACATAAAGCTGAGTATCAATTCATTATAACTTGATTATTGATGAACATTGTAGCATAGAGAACAGCATAATAGCATGTTAAAATAGCACTATTATTTAATGCCAGGGATAAAGTATTGCAAAAAAAAACATTGGTTGTAGTGAGTTAATAACACTATGTAATAAATACTGTTATTATAACATTTTATGATACACAAAACTTATTCAAATTGACTCTGCTTAACCAAACTTCAACTTGAATTAGAATCCCTGTTTAATACAATGATTTGAATGATTAACATATATCATGAGATTCTCATAAATAAAATTTTATCACAGAGCTTTTATGGAATAGGTAAAGGCAAATAAAGGCATAAAAAATAGAAATACAGAGACATAACTCTTGTTTCCTTTCAATAAGGCTTAAACAAGAAACTGGATATGCATTATATTTAATTAGTAGTTGTAATACATGCTTTATTAAAAATTTCATTAAAATTTTTGTGGTATTTATCACAAAATTTCAAATCAATGCCTACAATATGAGTATTTAGGTATAAATCAATTCAATGAGAATTTATTGGAAATTTTAAACTAGATATTTGGAAATAGTAGCTAAAGGTCGGCACACATTTACCAATTTTGTGACGTAACACCATTCGATTTTTCGACAGCGTCAAATTATCAGGACATACAGTCAGTGCTGATTTTTTTATGGAACGCTGTACGATTTTTCAATGCAGTCAACTTATCAGTAACACCCGCATACTTGCCAACAAGGCAGGTCAGGGCGTCTTTCGATCAAACATGCCAGATATCTCCCGATTTTGTCATAGGGCTGTTGCAGACCAACGCACACTGGCCGACTTTTCGACATATATTATCGGCATAAAAAAAATCGGTAAGTGTGTGCTAGCCTTAAAAATATCCAGAAAATAAATTTCAGTAACCATTTGAGTACTATTCTTAAAAGATAAGTTCATGTAAAGCATTAAAAATGGCATGAATCAAGGTTATGATATGACTGTATTCAATATAATATTATCAAATATTCACTTGTTTTGATGTTCTATTAAATCTTTGATTTTATCAGCTGAATTATGAGCTTCTACTTTATATTTATCATCATCTATATGATACCACATAATTACATTATAGAAAAACTTGTAGGCTTCCATTCTCTTTTCTATACCAGGTTGTTCAGGCAATACTTCATAATAACCCTTGAAAAAATCATCATGGAAACTCTCTTCATGGTATGATAGCAGCAGATCAAATTCTGTGTGTGCATAATTTACTGATGGATCGAACAAGACTGCAATATAATTTCAAAATATAAAAACAGCTTTATTGGTATACACGAACTGAATATGTGTGTGCTTTGAATCCCACACGAACATAAAGTGGAGTTTTTCATTCTACTTTTCTCTGCTGTGAAATGCCATTTAACTTGAAATGTGGCAACCATCTTTAAAAAAAATTGTGAAAAAAGACAAATATGTCGTAAGTTTATGGTGGACATGGAGGCAATGGTGTCAAAGAAACAAGATACTTCTGCCAATGTGATTGATTTTGACTTCTGCATAAAAAATATAGCTCTCACCTGGCCCATTTGATGTTTGTCCAAAATTGGCTTGACACAAATCACCATGGTTGACTTCTGGAGTGATTTCTACATCTTGGAACAATTTTGACATATGAATTCTTAACCATGACCATTTAGATAACAGACTTCTATCTCCATACTGTTTAAAATCCAAATAGAAATGGAGTTTTACATCCTCATTTTCTGCACATCAATGTGCTAAAGCAATTGAGAAACAGTATTCAGCATGATGTCATTAATTTCCTTGTGTGCATCAAACAAATGGTGGTTGTTGGTTCTAATCTTAGTCAGAGGGTTAAGTCTAGTGACCTTGAATTATTCATCTTTTATCATTATTGAAAATAACTGGGTGGGGATAATACGGGAGAGATCAATGTTAAGATATTTCAATATTTCAGAGACTATTCAATAACATCAAGAACTATGAATCATTTAAAAAAAAAAACTCACCTTGTTAGCAAGTCCAACTTGTAATGGTTCCAGTATATCACCAATAAAATATTCCTACAAAATATTATTTCAAATATAGAATTAAAGATTGTGTCTACAAATCTCATATAAAACCAAACGGTCCATTAAAGGGATAGAACTGCCATTTCCGTCAATTGATTTGGATCTTGAATATATGTAAATAATCTTCAGAAGTACTACATATGTACAAAAATCCCATAATTCCTACTAAAAACTAAGAATTTCTCTTCTATTTCTATATATGTCTGTTCTATATATCACAGAGTCTCAAGAAATGATGAGTCGTCTTTTTAACATTCAAACATAGCTAATCTGGAAACCATGAATTTGAAGTCTCAAATTTCAACGGTGAGCTGAGAAAACTGTTTCTGATTAGCTTAGCTAAAATATTTCCATATCTGAGACAACAGTATAATTGGTCAAATGGCTGGCAAATCTGTCCCTTTTAAAGCTCCAATAGAGTTCTTTCACATCATTACTTATAGGTGGTCAACTGGTCATTTGGGACGTGCCTTTCAAAACAAAGCCAATAACTCACACAGATATAAACAGAAATGGACCAATGCCAATACCTTTGACCAAAGAAAAGTTGGACAAGAGCCCCCTTGAACATGTGGATATCTATTTTATTTTTCTATCACTATTACAAATCATGATATCGTAAAGAGAAAAATGACTGACCTCCCATGAGGATCTCTGTACAGGATCTAGACGGAATATTCCTAAATATCTTGGTAATAAAGAACCAAATTTATCAACATAAGAATCACTTTCATCATCATTATCATCACCCTGTATAAAACCATCTTTTTTATCTGCTAACTCTTTTAATGATGAATTAAAAGTATGGAGCCTACAAAAGAAATGTTTTAATGTGGGCAATGATTTTCTCCTTTCATGCGCGTTGCAAATTTGGACAGATATGAAGTTTGCTTCCGCAGTTACCTAGAAATTGCTTCTGTTTGAGAATCTCCATGCAACACAAGCATTAGCCTACTCTTTTCTCAGATTCAGAATTGTCAAGGACGCTTAAACATACACAGGCTACAGCAATAAGGCCTCAACTTGTATTATCCCATCCAAATGAATTTACACTGAAGGTATTTCACATCCACAAGTCTGCCATACTGCTAAAATTAAATTCCAGAATCTTCTGGTTTTCGAAATGGCAAGACTTTATTGGTAATAGCAAATAATGCTAAAAATATTCAAACAGGGTTTACCTGGCTATTTTTTCTCCTAATTCTGACCAATATGTTGTCATTGGTTCTAAATCTGGTATATATTCTAATATATGTACTGAATAATTATTGACTTCGTTGTTACTTATATTTAAAACCTACAAAACAAGTACATCACAAAGCTGAATACATTTGATCAATACTAATGTAATGGGACAAATCAAACAAGAACTTCCAGATTCCTATAAAATTATACATATTCTGTATAACTTATTTTGACAAAAATTGAATACTAACCAAAATATGCATATAAAATGGTGACTATATTGTTAGATCACTTTTGAAATCATAACCTAAATTTGAATTCAAAAGATATTTATAATCCATACCTTATATGATTTAGGAACATCAATAATCTTAGTTCTGCTTAAAAAGTCTAAACTATTACTTTCAGCTTCAAACATCTCAGTTGCCTGTAAAAATCCAAATATACTTGAATTAGATGCCTCATACTGTAGGCCAACATGATATGGCCAGTGATCCACTTGTGTAAGCTTATAATCACTTCTTGTATTTTTTGAGAATCTCCACATTTCTTTCCAGGTATTCCCAATTTAAGGTTTGATATCAATAATTCTTGATTTTTCTTTCTTCTACTATTTTGCTCGTTCTACCAACTTCACACCTTTCTGCAATCAAGAAAAATCATTTCCCCATTACTAATCTACAAACTTGTGCAATATAATCTAGCACTCTATTTTCTGGGATGTTTGTAAGAAATATTGAAAATTCTTACCACATCATTGTCATTTAATTTGATGAAATATTGACTGGAATCTGTTGATGAAAATAAAGCAGCCTTGTTGACTATTCCACCTTTAACTTCTTTTTCAAAATGTAAATTTTCATCATTTAATGCTAGTTGAATATCACTTTCTATAAGTTTAAAGTCTTCCATTGTTTATATAAGGTCTTGTACCCATCAAACTCTTTTATCCAATAACTCAATAGTTGTCAATACAATGTGTTACCTTAGTCTTCAAAGCTGAAAAGCAAGCATCATGTTAAATTTAGTTAGTTTTTCTCACAAATGGCAAATTTAAAATGAGAAATTTGATTAACTTTCAATAAAATGATCAAAATCTATCAAAAGTGACAATAACCCTGAATTCTCTATAATTTCACTTTGACATCTTGCTAACTAGCCTATATCTAAAACTTTCCCAAATCAGAATCAGTTAAATTATATCTGAAACTCTTTGAAGATTAGAATTTGTTTGTTAACTGGGTATATTAGGCTATATTATATAAGAAATGCGGCAGTGACCTAACACACACTTTAGCAGTGTTTATGATTCGGTTACATTTACACTTGCACCGTACATAAAACTAACTAGGCATTAAGAAATATAGATCTAATATGATTGCAAATCGTAGTGATTGATTATATAACTAATGAAGCTAATTGCCTTCCTTGTTTTAACCTAAATAATTTTCCTTACTAACCATACGTCTACTTTCGATTTTCTACTAAATAGTCTCGAATAACAAGACTGAATAATAAGAACGCACCGCAAATCTGAGAAAGTGTTTCATGACAGCCTTGATTGAAAACATATGTGTGAAAAACATTCTTCTGTGGATTAATAACAGTGGATTATCTACATTTCTTTTTCACTTCTGACAAAATTGTTCCACAGGAAGGATCCAAATTCAGATTAGCAATTACAACAGGAAGTCAATATTGAAACTGGAAGATCAAGAAAAATAACAACATGTCTGTGAAAAAGAAACTTGCCGAATTATCTGAAAATGAGACTAAACTCTTTGACAAACTACTTAAAGGTAATAATAATCTATTAACTAATTTACAATGTCATTTTGTTTGTCGCAAAATTTACCAAGGAAGCCTTTTTCTGTCAAAATAGAGTCCATTTCGATAAACTGGTGCTGTTCGAATATTCGCGAAATTATCAAGGGAGGAAACTTATTGTTGAAGCAAATTTGCAGGCAACAATAATGTTTTTTTTTTTTTTAATAATCAGATATAAAATTAAAAAATGGGAGGGAGTGGGGTAAGTCTGATATCACCATCTATTTGACCAATCGCACTTAGGCTCCGAAACCGCAATTTATTGCTAAGTAAATAATAACTGTTCACAGATCACTGTGGAAAAAATGAGCTATCAAATTCATGTGTGTCCAGAAGGCAGAATTATCCGCGTTTGATGACACCTCGTCTACTTGAGCTCTGTCATAACTTATTTTGAAACAATAGAAATAGAAAGTGAAATTTCTAGTCTGAGGTATATTTATGGGGATGGTGCAATTTTTGTGCAGTTTTTGTACTTCTGAACACTATTTACAAAATATTCAAGACCTAAACCAACCCCCGAAAATGAAGAATCATGGCCTTAAAGCCTTATTTTACCATATTGTATTCTAAACTGGTAGTAATGGTGAAAAACATAATCTTAATCTAGAATGCTGACTCAATGCTGAGATTTTCATTGCAGGCTTAAAAATTCAACTACTAGGCCTATCATATTCACTATCCTTCCTCCCTGTCATGTTTAGACCTACATTTTGTTGACAAGTAGCCTTCTATACTTTTAGTTTATTGTTATATTATGTCCACTACCTGTAGTAATTGCATTTTTTCATATGAATTAATTTTTGAAAATGTTTACACTTATTTCCATTGTTGACTATCTTCAACGTGATTAATTTACAATTTATTCAGGCAATGTCAATAAGCTCTATGAAAAATTTAGAGTTATTGAATGTACCCAATCCAAATGAATGTTAGTGTTATGATTTTGATTTTAGGTACGTTTGAGGAGATTCAATGTTTATTGAAAGAAAAAGATGTAAGGGTTGACTGTCTAGACAAGGTAGGATAAATTTTCCATTGTTTATAAGATTATATTAGATGATATTTATATGAAGACCTATATGGTTACTTATCCGAAACATGTGTCAGAAGTATGAGATTTCCTCTGTCTTTCTCAGTAATTTACCTTGCTCTGCTCATTTGCCTCAAGTTCACTCTCCTTTTCAGGTTGACATTGTATCATTCTTAAACTTTATCATACCTTAAGGTGCCCTCAAACCATCTCTATTTAACCAGTTGAGTTTGGCTGCAGATAATGGAAGTGATCATGAGTTCCGACTGCAACTCACAACTTTCAGTTGAAGCAAATTATGACCGCTATCTTAATTCGCAACCACTAGCAAATGGTGATTACTTTGGTGTTGAGCCACTTTAGATGAATTGACTTAGAGGTAGTAGAGCTATTTGACTGGTAGATTTCGTTGAGTACCGGTATGCTAAAAGCTAACTCTAGTAAAAGTGCTCAATGGAAAAAGTACCATTCAAATGCTTTATTGTGTTCTCTCAAGACAGCAACATGGCTCCCGCCAGCAACCATCTTGAAGTGTCCACACGACTGTCTTAAGGAAGGAAAAACTCTGTTAGTTTTCGTGCTCAACGAAACCCCACAACGGTACCAATCGAACAAATTTCATTGTTTAAGAACTCTCAATGTTCAATGAAATCGACCAGTCGAATACGCCTAATGTATCAGAAAGTATACTATCAATTAGATATTCATAGATTTCTGAATCAATGTTAATATTTTTTCTGGCAGACGGGCATGACACCATTACAACATGCTGCATTTAGAGGGAAGAAAGAATTGTGTGAATTATTTTTAGCACATGGAGCTGATGTCAACAGTAATTATCATGACAATAATTACAGCACATTGATGTTTGCAGCACTTTCAGGTAATTAGTACATGTTAATTAGGGTATGCTAATTAGTTTTCTGTTTAATTATCAGCTTGTCAGACAGTTGTTCACAAATCTTTATTGCATGTTTCCACAATTAGTTTCCTGAAATAACACTTAAAGGGACAGCTTTGCTATTTGTTCGACCAATTTTATTCTAGTCTCCGAAACGGGAATATTTTAGCTAAGCTAATCAGTAATAGTGTTCACAGTTCGACGTTGAGCTTTCAAATCCGTGTGTGTCCAGAATTATACGCGTTTGAAAGTCAAAATGATAACTCTATCGTATATAAAAAACACATAGAAATAGAAAGTGAAATTCCTTATTTTTGAAGAAATGGCGCATCTGTCCCTTTAAACAGTTGAAATGTTCATGGTGTAGCCAGGTTCAGGTCTCAAGCATTTGTTTGTCAATTTGCAACTGAATTCCTTTAAATCAAAATAGACAATTCTGTCCCCCTTGCACTTCTCACACTTTCAAAGTCCTTCCTGCTGGTTTGAAGACAAACTTCCCCTAATGTACACTGCACAGTGTAATACTAGAGTGAAAAATAATTTTATACTTTCTTCTTTAACTGAAGGGTGAGACTCTAATTCCACAAAATAGATAATATTTTTTAGTAACTCTTTTAAATACTAATATAGACCAAAAAAATATACTTACTTGTAAGACAAATGTAATCTATGTATCCATCAATTCTAATCACTGACACAAATTTGATATTTCACTGATAGTTTTCTATTTTCCCATCATTTTGTTGAAAATTATTTTATGCTTCAATGAACCTTGACTCACAAGTTTTTCTTGACACCAATTTCTTCATACATCATTGTTCAATCACCTTTAAAAAAAAAAGTTAGCCTTATTTTGTTGAATATGTGACTGTCTTTTCACTTTGGTTGATACTTAATACTCATGGGAATTAGAAAATGAAACCTCAAAATTTAATATTGATTATTAAAATCACCTTTTGTAGATGAAAAATGAAGACATCAAGTTTTTAGAGAATTTTCACTCAGAATTTAATAATATTTGTGTGTGAAAATTTTTTAGAGGAAAATTTATACCAGTATATTCTAAATAGAAAATTTAAAAACTTAATATTTGTATCAATGCAAAGTCATTCTAAGACTTTCAGTACTAGTACCGTTTGGAAGCTTCACATTAAAATACCCACAAAACTTCAATTTACCTAAAAAAAAAAAACTGATGAGACATTAGTTAATACAGATTCCCACACTATCCTATTATTTAGAAATCTAATAGTATGTTAACTATCTAATATGTTTGACCCTTATCCATTTACTCAGTCATTGAAGCGACAACTTCTATTGGAAATTTACTCATTTTTGTCCTTTGAAATTGGACTAAGTCTTACTTATAAAGAGGATTTAGGTTACAAAAATATTGACTCAAAGTTATATAGCAATTTTGTAATTCTCACTAAAACTTTCAATAATAACTTTATCCCTGTTTATCAATATACTTATTTGGAAAAGATCAAAAAAATATTTTGAATATTTCAGGGATAGTATCATATTAAAATAATTCATCTATGAAAAATATTAAAACTTAAAATATAAATGCAATGTATCTCTCTCATATTTTCTTGTACCATTTTTCCCATTTTAATCCATATAGTTTAATTATTTTCATAGAATAACCTTCAGTGAATGATTACTACTCTCTTAAGGGCTTTAAGTCCTGGATAATTTCTCTCATTTACACATGGCATTTCCAGTCTTCCAATTCTAATGCCAAGGTAGAACAAGATCCAATCTTTCTGAAACAATGCCTTATATTACAGGAAATGTGGAGGTAACCAGAATGATGTTACAGGCTGGCGCCAATATTCACCAGATTAATTCTGTTAATAAAACAGCAACCCAGATGGCAGCATTTGTTGGTAAGAAGTAAAATATTAATTAGTCCCATCAAATTAACGATTTTGTTCCATGGTTTTTTTTTATAGGGATATATAGATTTTCAAATGGTTTCAATACAATTTCTGCTTTTTATAGAAAATGTTTTTGAATGATTTATATTGAATGGTTGTATCTCTGTAATGAATGCATTAGGCTCTAAATATATCTTATTTTGATCATAGTTTAATAGATGATTAAGGTAGGACGTAATGGTTATATTGGAACTCATAATTCAGGATTAATGGAATCATATCCAATTACCGGTATGCTGTCAAACATAATTTCATTTCATTTCATTTTCAAACTTTTTTGTTTGTAAACCTTATTAGACATTTAGAAGTATCACTGTGCATTAAGAACTACAATTGTTATGGATATAGAATCTATTTATTTCTTTAAGCACAACGTTTCATTACACATACAGGTACTATACTCGTTTCATCACTTGAGAATGTTACCTGTATGTGTAATGAAACATCTTTATCCATTGTTCTTAATCTTGTTTGTATAAATGCAGAACTAATAAGCAAAATATGAACCTTGTTTTTTTTTAGGTCAACATCAATGTGTGTCTGCTATCAATAATTTTTTTCCACGATCAGAATTAGAATATTACACTAAACCACAAGGTAAATATAACTTGTATGTTTTTAAGATTTTTGGTTACATTGAAACCATCATTATGTTGACTGCTTAAAAGACGAACACAATCCTTTTGACCAATTTTACCACTGAGAAATGGGAATTTTGTTAGCTCACAGTCTAAATTTCAAATCCATGTGTGTACAGACTTATTCTTGTTTGAAAGTTAAAATGACATAGATAATACATAGAAAGAGGAAGTGAAATTTCTAGTTTGAGGTATATTTGAAGGGATTATGTAATTTTGATGCAGTACTACATATATTCAAGATCCAAATCCACATGGGAAAATGTTGATCTATGGCCTTTAAATACAAGGCATCCTTGAGTTGGGTTGAAATCAGTTCAATGTAAGAGCTTTGACAACCAGGCTTGAATATAGATAATCATAATAGTACAATACTAAGAACTAATTAGTTGATTATAGTTATAAGTATTGATTAATCAGATTTCTTGAAGCTAATTAGAAAAATTGTAATTAGCAAGATTTCTCACGAGCTTCCTATTATAAAAAGATGTACCTTAACAAGAGTCAATCTGTTATTATTATTAAGGAAAGACATAAATAATATATAGCTGTTATTGTAATAAATAATGTAATATTTGTCATGTTGCTTGAGCATAAATCAAGTCTTTTATCTTTCTTTGCTTATGTAATATACTTCATGCTATTCTCATTCATAAAAGCAAAGTTGCGATATACTTTTATGGACATATTTTGATATATTGAACCAAGTTTTTGAAGGTTTATAGCAAAATTTAAAAAAAAAGTTATATAAAAATTCTATTGTATCTGTCATTGTTCTGATATATTTCTATTTTTTATTTTTAATGTAGGTTTAGAAACAGAAGGTAAATTACCACTAGAAACATTAGAACCATTATTAGGTCTGGTCAATTCTGTTAATCTACACCCTGTTAAGGTGGGTTCATTTTTGTATACCCTTCTCTAAATCTCTAATATAATGCTATATTAATAACAAAGCTTAATAAAGTAAGTAAAGAAATTTATTATTTCAGGTATCAATGTATTTACATAATAAATGATACTAGTGAATAAATCATATAAAGTATTTATTATTTCAGGTATCAATGTATTTACATAATAAATGATACTAGTGAATAAATCATATAAAGTATTTATTATTTCAGGTATCAATGTATTTACGTGATAATATGATACTAGTCAATGAATCATATAAAGTATTTATTATTTCAGGTATCAATGTATTTACGTGATAATATGATACTAGTCAATGAATCCTATAAAGTATGTAAAGTATTAGATATATTGGTAGAGAAGAATATGAAGGCTAGAGATACTAATGATGTTATGGCCGTTAAACTACATTATTTCACTACTATTATACGCCTAGCTAGAAAATCTCATGATGACAAAAATGATAATCTTCAATTCTGGATAAAAAGGTACATATATCTCTCTCTCTCTCAATAAGATGGAGTAATGGTTGCTCGGTGAAGTAAATGTTTACATGCTTGACCCCAAGGTCAAGGGTTCAATTCAGGTCAAGAAGATACATTTGGATCTTTTAATCCAGTTTAATCCAGGAAGAAATTTTCTGATACACATGCAAAGGCTAAAAAAACAATTCAATTCTTTAAAGATATTTAACAAATGCTTAATCATTGTGGTCTGTTAATGCAGAAAATTAATATAATTATCTCCCTTCCTCTCTGTACAGTATGATAACATCATCAATATTCAATATATTTCTAGTTTAGTGAAGGGACGTGATCAAGATGGTTTCCCTGAGTTTGCTGAAAGAGTAGTTCGTCAGTCATTAAAAGAGTTTCCCTATGTTGATTCACAATTATTCCAGACTTTGGTTAGACAGATATCTTCAGTTAAAATTGTAAGTAACTAATAAATTTTATTGGAAGTGATAGGCACATTCTCATTAAGTGGAAAGTAAACCTCAATTTGCAGAATTAGCTGTTCAAATGAACATTAAATATCTCATCTCACCTTAAATTCTATATTGAAGATTAAAAAACTTACAAGTGATTCACGCAATCCTCCCATGGTTTAAGGGGAGTCACAGGAGGATCAGTGTGCTGTAAGGAGTTAACCTATTGAATTTGATTTACAATGCTAATATTACAGGGTGATACACCAACAGCTCTATCATCACTAATAGCTGGTGTTAATGGTAATCAGTTTGCTATGGCTGAAGATGTTTGTGCTACTTGTGGTGAAAGAAATGCCGTCAAATCTTGTTCAGTTTGTAAATATGTAAGTATTGGTCTATCATAACTCTTTACTTCTTAGTCATTTTCTCATTGTGATGCTTGGATATTGATGGGAATTTTGTGGTTTGGAACAGATTGATGAATTTGCATCATTATTCCAGATCATGTAGCTTGAAATTTACACACTTAATACAGGAAAAAATACCCGATTTAAAGATGTGTTTCATTTGAAAATCAATTCCAAAATGACTAGGCGGTACAATGTTCTAGAATTTCATCGATTTGCTTAATTTTGATGAGCTAGACCTTTTCTATATAAAGTGAAACAGTGCAAAAAAATAATTGTTATAACATAGCTAAAAGATAAATTGATGAACACTTATTCTTGATTATTTTGAAAAGACTTAAATAATGATTAAAAGTCTGCAGTATGAGTTAGCTAGAAACAGACAATAGCAGACATTAACCTGACCTTATAACTATTATATTTTTATTTCTTCATCAGCTTCAATATTGTGGTCAGCCTTGTCAAAAACTTCACTGGTCTACTCATAAAAAATTCTGTAAAACATTAGCACGTAAGTTATTTATATTAATTGAACATGTTGTATTGCTAGTGAGTTATCTGTTTTATCTCAATAAGCAACAGACCATGTCACGTGCAAATTTACTTTTATAGGCTAAATGTTTAATTACAAAAGATTATTGTAAATTTACACAGACCATACCTCAGTCACAGAAATGAGAATGGTTCAGCTAAGCTAAATGGATCTTGTTTTCACAGGTTACAGTCAAAATTTGAAACTTCTTAGCAATGTGTATCCATAATTATCTGTGTTTTAAAGTAAAAAAGATGAATCACTCTTTTTCAAGATTTTCTGAATATCTGTTAATGACATCAGTTGTATACAGTAGACTCAATCATCTTGTTCCATTTCATCTATGCACAACTGCAACAAAATATGTCTGTCGGTCGGTCAAAAAGAATTTGACTGTGTGTGTAATTTGGACTGTACTTTCCAATTGCTGCAATCTGTGATATAAGAAAGGTGGTTATTGCAGTTTTGAAAAGGATATAAGAGTTAAAAATTCAACTTCAAAACCTTAATGTCACACATAACCCAGATTTCTCACGTTTGATAGAAAAGACATAGAAATGGAATTTTTCAAAATTCTGTAGCAAAGTACACGTTCCATGTGTTTTTAAATTAGATACTTGTGTCTAAATCAATAAATACCACATTGTGTCAAATACATAATTAATTAAAAACTTGTAAAATGTTATTCAAGTTATTATATAAAATAACAATGTAGCTTTTGAATTGATTTTAATTACTGTAACTTGCTTTTATTGAGTGAAATTCTACAAAAAAAAAAAAATAATGATCACTTTGAAGTATAATCAATAAATACATGTAACTTTGACACTTATTGGAATATTATCACTTATATATGAAAATTACTGATTTTTGCTTGTTTTGAAAAATTTTTGTATCCACTCAAAATCAATCTATTTAAATTACTACTCTTTTCTGTTTTCTTTCTATTTATCCAAGACATCATTAGAAACATTTTCTCAAGAATTGATTGATTAGATTGCACAATTATTTCTATTGTCTACCAGTTCTTTGTTAGGAAAAAAGCAAAGGTTGAGTTTTTATGTTTAAAGCTACCATGTCATTTTATTTAAGAAATTTTTTTTTGATGAAATTGAAAAGGTTTCTTAAAACCTGTAGGATACTTTGTTTGGTTGAAACAATAATATATTTGTAATTCTATAATAATAAAAATATTTTCACTGTTAAAATAGTGCTGAATATATCAATTATAGAGTGATATAGAAATATTAAAACAGAACTTGAATTACATTGTTACTCAGAGTTTCACACTATGCAATATTCAGACAACTGACCTATTTGCAGTCTGCATCCCTACTAATAGAACTTATGAATGATCAACGAATGTTCAAAATGCATCAAGAGATAGTAACAAGTACTAAATAGCTCATTCCATGCTGGCACTGGTTTCTGATAGTGGCTTCTCATTAGTCATCTACTTTGGAAAAAAATGGCCTTTATAAAAATAAAAGTTAAAAGTTCAAAATAGTATGACCGTAATAGCTAGATCAGGCCCGTGTTTTTCAAACGGTTTGTCATTTGGATGGAAATTTCTTTCCAGAATTTAAAAAAAAAATACATGAGTCTTTATTTTAATTAGAATGAATTTAATATATTTAAACAGTACCTATGTACCTCATAATGAAATGTTGTAGAAGAATTGAAAGTTGTAATTACTAGAAGTAATAATCTCTTTGAGTAGCTATGAGTTTACTATACCTGTAGATATTGATTTATTATCTATGTAAAATGTAAAACTATTATTATGTTCTGTAACTGATTGAACATACTTCATAGACAAAGATAAAAATATTTTCCAGTTGAAAAATATGTTATGTTAAATCTGGTGTATTTTAGTTAAACTTTGGCAAAAAGAACTGAAAATTATTTTTCGTGCCTTGAAAACATAACATAAAATTTACAGATTTTGAAGAGTTTTTCTAGCTTATGTACCATTTTGATTTCCTATCTGAATTCTGTGGTTCTAGTTTTTGCCAGTAAAACTAAGCCCGATTACAACTTTAGCATGCAAACCAAATTGTAGTCATTGGTACTGGTATAACAAGTTGAATCTGTTTTAAAGTTATTTCATACCTTTGTCTCAGAACAGACATTTTTTAACTGTACTAAACAGTGTTCACAGCTAACTGTCGAAATTTGAGCCTTCAAATCCATGTGTATCCAGAATTATCTGTGTTTTAATGTTAAAATTCTGATCCGTTTTCTTGATACTTCACCTAAAGTGAAATTTTTAGTTTGAAGTATATTTGTACGGTTCTAGCACTTCTAAAGATTATTTAATTATATTGAAGACCCAAATCAACCCCTGAAAATGGTAAATCATGGCCTTTCATTTTTCATTTTTTATGGCTATTTTTGATAACTTCAGTGGTTTACAAGAAAAATCAAGAAATGATGGCAAAAGAAAAAGCTAAGCAAAAAAGAAGAAGAATTAGAAAAAAGTAAGAAGGAAACTGAAGATCTGGGAAAGAATTTGAAAGATGTTCAATTAGGTATATAAGCTGTTTTTTACTTGGTTTAATCTCTTTTAAATGTCAAAACATCATTCAAAATAAATTTAATAAGCCAAAGGCTAATGACATTACATTTCTATTTTTTCATTATACATCAGTCAGTCAGTATATTGGAAACTTAATCCCCTTTAACTTCTAAACTAGCCATCCTGATGAGGATTTTATATCCAAAACACTCGTCAACAGCATGGAGCAAGATAGTTCATTGACAATTTAACAACAAATATGAAAAAAAAAACTCATAGATAATGTTTTTGCAGAGAACCATATTAGAGGTGACATCCAAGATTTAGCTGAAAATTGCCTTCTGTTAAAACCAAGGCAACACAAGATCTATCAGGACTGACTATTTTAAATTAATGAAAGTCTATTAATGTGTTCTACCTTTATAAAAAATGAGAAATGAAATGAAAGTTTTGTATCTTGGGACAGTACTGATGAATATCTCTCACTTTATATTTCTAGGTGATGTTACAGAGAAAATAGAAGATAATAGCGATGAAACTAGCAAGATAAAAACAGTACCATCAGACAGTCCAAAAACACCAACTACCAATAATACCTCTTGATTTACACAGTCTCTGTCAACAGTCATAATATCTATGAAAAGTAAAATTATTTGTCCATGATTCAATTGACTTTATTTCCAGGTAGTTTAGTAATAATGAACACAATGTTAGTCTAGTTTGTAATTGGGATTTTGACTGGCACTAATCATACAGATGCTTGTTAAAACAGACATTTTAGCTATCTTGTTGTTCATGTCTGGAATAACAGCCAATTCATAGCCCTAGTGTATATGGTGCCAATCACCAATCATTTTACCTCAAATCAAAATCGACTTCTTTTATCTGTGTTCGAGCCCCTGAATATGCACAAAAATCTGTTTTACTTAATTTTTGAATTTTAAATAAATTATAGAATCACATTTCTTTACCAATTTGTGGAGAAATTTTAAAAATCATGATAAGGAAATTTGAATGTCAAAGATCACAGAGCAAAAAATAGGATGTTTATTAGTTTATGTTTTTAGTCGTTTATATTAACAAACTTGTGAAGACTATAAAATTTTGAATATCAAAGGTTGCAAGAGCAGAAAAAAAGGAATTTGTTGGTAAACTTCTAAGCATTAACATCAAGATTTCAATCTACACAGACAATTTTTTTATTTTTTCAGGCAAACTTTGAAATTCATATTGTATCTAGGTTATTTCATTCTATTTATTATTAAGGAAGTTTGTGAGAGTATTTATCTATGAAACAGAATTTTCATATCTTGAATAATACAAAAAAAACAAGCTTGGCATTTTCAGTTTGTTAAAGGAAACACAATTTCTCCACACATTCCATTATCTATTATTTACATTTTCATACCAGGTCAATTTCACCTCAACATAATTGACCTTTGACACCTCTTGCATAAGGTCAACTTTGCTCGTACATCAAGTCAATTTTCTCCACATTTGACCAAGTGTCTTCACATTTGACATGTTTGATCTGAAATACAAAAAAACATCATGTAACTTCTTGATATTATATTGCTTGACATTGCTGTATTTCCATTTTATTTCATATAGAAAGCTATGACCTAAATTTCCATTTTATTTCATATGGAAAGGTAGCACCGAAATATCCGTTTCATTTCATATGGAAAGGTAGCACCTAAATTTCCATTTCACTTCATATGGAAAGGTAGCACCTTAATTTCCATTTCATTTCATATATTAGTTAACTGTTATTATTAACCTCAATTTATTTTCATATCCTATAACCATTATTTCAAAAATATCAATTATAATTTGTTCATATAAAATCAGTTCATCTATGCTGTGTAGGTTAGCTTTAAAACAAGAAGATCTGTGAGATAATGTTTTCTCCCATTGAAAACAAAATCTATTGTTGACACTTTTAATCTATTTTAGATTTTGCTATTAACATCAATTTTGTTTTATAGACAGGCAAACATTTGTGTTTTAAGCGTAACAAAGAGAATCTGATTTGCAAACCTTTGTCTGAATTCCCACATCATTTAGTAATTTTTTTTTGAACTTTTGATTTTAATCAAAATATTTAAAGGGACAAGTGCACCATTCTTTTTGAACAATCATACTTTAGTCTCAGAAACAGGAATTTGTTTATCTAAGCCAATCAGTAATATTGTCCACAGCTCACCTCGAAATTTAATCCACATGTGTCCAGAATTATCCACGTTTGAATGTTAAATTGAGGACTCGTCATTTTAAGATACTGTGTTATATATAGAAAAGATGTATAGAAATAATGAGTAAAATTCCTAGTTAGAAGTAGTTTTTAGGAATTATGTGATTTTTGTACATTTCTAGTACTACTGAAAACTATTTACATATTTTCAAGACCCACATCAACCTCCCAAAGATGACGCACCTTTCCTTTTGATTATTTAATTGTAAAATAAAAATTGTGTGTATCCAATTGAAAATAATTACAGTTGTTCAGCTGTTTAGTGGTGTCTCCATATTCAAATTTTTTATCATTTTTCATGGGGGAAAGAATTGCCTATGTACCCCTTGAAAATTGTGTGGCCGCAGCTTAATGATTGAGAGACATCACTGCTTCTTCTGTGTTTACTGTATAGTGAATGTTTATTTTCACAATCAGATTAAGAGATATAAGTTATTCATCAGGATAAGTTAAAAATTTAATATATACATTGTCTAGTAAAACGTATATAATAAATAAGGCATGTTAGTGATTGTGTAAAGTGATTATTGATTGTTTATTCCAATATTAATATCTGTGTTTGTGTTTTATTGATATTGAATGTTCTTGTTAAAGAAATTTCAAAATGAATTCATTTGTGTTTTATTGAAAAGTAACATTCGGAGTGGGAACAGATTGCAAATTGACAGAAATCTGCTTTGGTTTACTGGGTCAAACGCCTTTGTGAAATCCATAAAACTTACCGAGAAAAATCACACCTGCAGTGGAGAGACCGGATTCTCACACGCACTAGTGATCTTCAATATCTTAAAGGGATTGTAAAGAGGTTTTCCAAATTGTGTATGTCTATGGGGGACAATGATAGCATCAATTTGTACCTTTCCAATTTTCTATCAGATTTCTGTGGTTTTAGCAATTCTACTTAAACTTAAAGTTTTATGGCATCACCTCCCCAAAGGTCTTATGTGATACCAGCAAATTTTGCGAGGGTAAACTTTTAGTTTTAGTGAAATTGCAGGAACTACAGCATACAAAATTTAGAAAATACCTCTTTACAATCTCTTTAAATAACTAACAGTTGGGAAGCATACAGCGATAAACGTTGGCTACCTCTTGGGTAATTAACTGTCAAGAATCTTAGTCATGGGGCGATCTGAGCGTCTATAGATGAACTATCTGAATCATTCCCAACATTGCAACGCCCTTTGTAACTTGTTGGTCTCTGATGTCAAACTTGATCTTATCTACTTTTGTGGATACAGAATGATAAACTGACTTATTATAAGAGGTTCCTAAGCTGCAGCAAGCTTTATGGCTTGACGACTGACCATCAACATAAGTGACATTGGATCGGCTACAGACCAATTGGCTGAAATTGCTTGTTCTCTCACTAAGGTTAGATATCGGAATCGCGCCAAACATCATTCCATCCCAAATAGACTCTGCGACACCACAATCTTGTGTGACTTGCTTAATGACCGATTGGTGGGGGAAGGCAAAGTATCGGTGAACTAGCAAAATCCTGTTTATTGATCAAATCATGTCGGGTCGATACAGATTGTCAGATATGAAATGAATGGAGTTTTACGTCCTACTTGTATGCATTTTATTGAGCTAATGACGACGGCGAACGTCATGCATGTTTGAGGGATCTTAAACATACACAGCCTGTCCGATTTATTGTCCCACCAGAACGACTACATGCGTTTCAATGTCAGAAAAAAAACCTTGTAGGACCACTGAGAAGTGATAGCCTTTCTAAGCTAAATGACGTATATAGTTGATAACTATTGATTTCTCACAGCTCCAATAAGAACACTGCAAGCGTCCAACACGATGTTCACTCAATACTTGGTAGTAAATGTCGAGTAACTCGACTGACGTGAGTACGTACAATTTGTGGTAAAACACTATACACCTGTTTTCACCTAGATATACCAAACATTTCATTCAATTATTGAGTGTTTTATTTACGTCTTTACTTCTACAGTTTAATTAATATTATCAGATATGTTGATGGCGTGTGGGTAAATAAATTTTTTTTGGACAAAGTTTTTTTTACAACTTTATAGTGAATTGTAAAAGGATATAAATTAAATAACTGTAAAAGGTAAATAAATGTTGTTTTTTTAATCAAATAAATTACATTTGAATTTTTTTACTTTATCTGTAGAATTGATTTAGGTTGCATCTGTGAACATAACTTGGATCACCTGCAATGATAATTAACTTTCAAACTTACATATAAATTATTTTATGAATATTATGCACATAATGCACTTTTACTACATCGATTGTTTAAAATAATTTAATGTAAACAATAAACCTATGGATGCGCGATGGACTCACACTGTGTTCCAACACTACAAACACAATAACTTAATACACACAACATGTTCCTGTATTGATATTTTAATATGCCTACAATGTTATTTTATTAAACACAGCTGCATGCTATTATGTAATGTTGAAACACAGACTGAATATTAGCATGTTTATAGTGACGACACTTCAGATTTCCTAATGACTATTCTATTTACGATCTATGTATTTAAGGTCAAATTGAATGATAATGGTACTTTGATTTTCATATGCATGTAAATACGGTCTAACTTGTATTAAAGCTACAGGTTTGCTATCCGCTTGACCAATTGTACCTTAGTCACAGAAACGGAATTTATTTTTGGTAAGCTAATCAGTTATAGCGTTATTAAGATCACCATCGAAAGTTGAGCCTTCAAATCCATTGTGTGTAACGAATTATCCGCATTTACGAAAAATTAAACGAAATCTTAGTGGATCTTAGTACATTTCTCTAGAACTTCTGAAGACTATTTACATATAATCAAGATCGAAGTCAACCTGGCGAATCTGTCGCATTAAGCACGCTTTTGAGAATGCTTGAAATTGGCTGCTTACTTTAAGTGCTTGCTTAGTAAAGGACCAGGCTGTACATTATTGCTAGTACATGTAGTGGATCGAAACTAATTGTTTGTTGTTGACATATCATTTGAGTTTTGACAGATGATGCCTAGGAAGTCGACATCTGTTGACTTAATCTACCAGAAGTCAGGAAAGTCAGCATGTTTCGATCTAACTTGATGTATTTTTCGGTCAAGGATTAAGATAGGCTATAAATAGTTTTGAAAATTATTCACGTCAAATTCGCCACTTTAAACTAAATTGTAACATTACTGTTCGATGTTTCGAAAAGTAGGTATATCACAAATTAGATGATAGAAACTTCAAATATTGTTTATTTATAGGATACGGATACACGGGTAATATCAATGGAAAGTTGCAAATAACGCAATCTACGTTGGCTGCATTGATCAGTCAAATCCTCCTCGCAAGTTTATGCTAGAGCGCACAAGTTCGACACAAGAAAGTCGATATTTTTCAAAGTTTTCCGTCTATCTCTGGTTGTTTGAAATAGGATTATTCTGGTAATGGTATTTCATTGTATTCCCGAAGGAGTAAATTCACTGTGACAACTGCCTCTCTTGCATATATCTAGTTTCATGAATGTTATAATTGTTTTATTATAAGTACAACGTCCCCACAGACAATGACGGGCTCGTCTAATTAATAGTCAGAGAAGTATTTCTGAATTGTCTCTTTAATTCCTGGTTTAAGTACTTCGATGTAACAGTGGAATCAGTCCCATGTTTTATAGCAGATTCGGACTACAATTTTGCTTCATTTTGAAGTTCCAATGTGGTTGGAGGTCAATGTCTTGATCCAAAAATGTTCAAGAAAAGATTCATATTAAAACCCGGCCTCTAACAAAAATGGATTTCCCCCCCTGAAAAATTCTGATAACCGATCTATTTCATTACTGCAAGTAAACACCATACACCATTGCCCCTCCACTCTGAACCATCCAGTCTGGCTACGGCCTGATTATAACTCTGGTTCCAACGATTCTCGAAGATAGCAGAGTGATCTACTTAAAGTCTCGTTTGAACTGAAAGCACTCTTCTGCAACTTGTGCAAAGTATAGTAATGAGGTTATAGAATTGTTGAAAAGTTCGTAACATCGAGTCGCTCTAATCTCCTTGAATATGAAAGCGTATTTGTTAAATATGAAATTATGGTTTTAATCATTTTAGTGTGATATCCATTAGTAGCATGGAACACATATTCTGCAATTTATTACATGACCTACATGACCTTTAAAGATCCATTAAATCTGTCACATTGACATTAGCATATTACCACCTTGTATGTATGTATGTATGTTATGTTATGTTATGTTATGTTATGTTATGTTATATTATGTTATGTTATGTTATGTTATGTTATGTTATGTTATGTTATGTTATGTTATGTTATGTATGTATGTATGTATGTATGTATGTATGTAACTTTTACTGCTTCGTGAATTACAAATCGTTGCTAAGCAATTTATCAAAACTAAGAACCGTACATAGCGAAATTTCACATTCCGTCTATCTTGTCACTAGACTGTAAATGCATGGGCACGTTCTTGTTCCCGAGGGTTGCTTGAGAGAAGATAATTTGATCAGAACTTACAAAAGTGTTGCTTTTTAGACGATACTTGTCAATTTTTACAGTTGCTGACACTCATGACAAGTTTCATCAAACTCATTAAATTTCATTAAACTCATGATAAGTTTCACCAAACACATGACAAGTTTCATCAAACTCATTAAATATTTCATAAAACTCATGACAAGTTTCATCAAACACATGCCACGTCTTATCAAAATTATGACATGTTTTATCTAACTCATTAAAAGTTTCATCAAAACATAACAGTTTCAAAATTCCCAAAACTAATTTCTTCAAACTGATTAAATTTCATTAAACTCATGACAAGTTTCATCAAACACATGGCATGTTTCATCAAACTCATTACAAGATTCATCAAACTCATTACAAGTTTCACCAAACTCATTACAAGTTTCATCAAACTCATTACAAGTTTCATCAAACTCATTACAAGTTTCATCAAACTCGTCAAACCCATTACAAGTTTCATCAAACTCATTACAAGTTTCATCAAACTCATTAAATTTCATTAAACTCATGATAAGTTTCACCAAACACATGACAAGTTTCATCAAACTCATTAAATATTTTATAAAACTCATGACAAGTTTCATCAAACACATGCCACGTCTTATCAAAATTATGACATGTTTTATCTAACTCATTAAAAGTTTCATCAAAACATAACAGTTTCAAAATTCCCAAAACTAATTTCTTCAAACTCATTAAATTTCATTAAACTCATGACAAGTTTCATCAAACACATGGCATGTTTCATCAAACTCATTACAAGATTCATCAAACTCATTACAAGTTTCATCAAACTCATTACAAGTTTCATCAAACTCATTACAAGTTTCATCAAACTCATTACAAGTTTCATCAAACTCGTCAAACCCATTAAAAGTTTCATCAAACTCATTACCAGATTCATCAAACCCATGACAAGTTTCATCAAACCCATGACAAGTTTCATCAAACCCATGACAAGTTTCATCACAGTCACAACAAGCTTCATCATCAAAAGTTCCGAGGTCGATGATATCTGAAAAAAGATGTCATATCCCACCCCCATGTATTGTATTGCTGTACAAAATAGGCCATGAATATACGATATGAGTTATAAATAACAGTTGAAACTTGACAATAATTTTTATAAGAGTACCATATGTTTCTAGTTTATTATTGAATGCTATAATTGACTATATCTATCGATTCTCTTTATTAACTCTGTAGGAAATATCGTACTTTAGTCTTGCAACTTTCACCTTCTGTTCATAACATATATTGTTAAACTTTTATGGAATCTCAAGACTTTTCAAATCATAAAGTTGTCTTTTGATTTTCCATAGGTTATATGTTTAAACTAAGCAAAAACGAATGTTTCGAGAATTATTCGTATGTCAGTCTAATCTTTTCGATCCATTTTATAAATCTTGATTCAAAACACTGTTTATTTTCTATTTACTTGAAGCGTTTAAGAGTACACTAAATAATTTCGGTGAGCCCTTGAATGCGACTATTGTGAAATTCTGTAAACTAGAACAATTTTATCTTTTATTGGTCAACAGAGAATTAAGTCACAGACTAACATATATTTTATACACATGGTTTATGTTCTTATTGCATGACAGAAAATGTTTTCTTAAAGGGAGTGTAAAGAGGTTTTCTAAACTTTTAAAATGTATCGGGGATATTGATATCATCGAATTATACCGTTCCAATTTTTAGACGTCTGTGGTTCCTGCCAATCCACTAAAACTCTCGTTTTACTCTTCATACAACAAAATGTAACCATGTCAAATTTTCACTCTTAAATTCAATTGTTAATCAATTGTAGAGCGATATAGAAATAGAAATATTAAAACAGAACCTAAAAAAAAACATATTGTTACTCATTGTTTCAACCTATATGATTCAGCCTTCATACCCACTGAAGTTGGACAATTAGAAATTATTCCCATGTCTTCACTTCGAGTTGAGATCGAAAAGTGTGTTTAAAGAGGTGTTTTTGGGGGACATTAATGATGGAAAGCTTCTATAATATTATAGTTTATAGTATTTATATCCTAAAACGGTATCCTCGACAGATATGAAGTAATGATTTCATGGTGGATCAAGGGTTAGATTCGATGTCTCGGGTAACCCTTCAAACAACAACATGTACGAAAATACTCTGTAGTTAATGATAAGATCGTACATATATTCTATATCTATATGTATTTGATCTCATTTGAAATTGGTTTTTTTAAGAGGTTAATATATGTATGACCCATTAAATAAATGTACACACTGGCAAATGCCCTTTGACTTATTATTGAATTATAAGTGTCCAAGTGTACTCTAAGTTTATAATAAGAACATAAATAATATAATGTCAATTCAAGTATGAATAAATATTGTACCTCTTGTTACTAGTAATTACAAATATCTTATTCAAGTTGCTTTGATAATACGACTAATTCTTACTTTCTATAAGTGAACGTATTGCCTTAAACCTATTCACCCCCACCTACAACTTACAATAAACTTTTAATTTAATATGTGTAACGCGTATCCTAGGATTGGTTTTGGTTCGGCGACCAAGGGTCACTATTTGTCCTTATGTTTATCAGTAACGATTTCACGTTTCACGACTTCTATCTTATTGAATACAGTCAGTATCACAAAGGTGTCGTTTACTTCTTATATTGACCGTAATTAATTAAATTTCAGAATTGTCCCATAAAACGTTTCTAAAGCTTTAATTTGAAGAAAGAGAGTTTCAGAGAGATAAAGTAGTCTGGATATTTTCTTATCAAGAGATAGGGTTCCATCACAGCTATCCGTATCACCTATCAGAATGGTAGTTTGTCTGGTACGTCTGCATATTCCATGTACACATTACCAATGACGTAATAAGTTATGACTTCTATCGATAGGCTTACATAATTTTTTCGTATGTAGTATTTTTGTGCTTAATGATCAGTTACTATCAGGTGTCAAAAGAAATATTTACCTCGAGGAATTATGTTTAAGATTGAACGCAAACGTCAAGAATGTTGCCAATGAGTGCTAGAATGTTACAAACATGCGTTGCACAAGATATATGATAAGAGATAGATGATTTATAGACATTTCTTGTATGTAAAAATAGACAAATCGAGTGCACAAACTCAGCAATTCTAATGCCGCGTTATTTTGTTCCAATTATTTCAAATATGATTATGTATGCGTACATGAGTTATGTATATAGTACATGTATGTTCAGTGGCACAAATACTATAGGGACTAGTTGAACCAAGTCCACGGGCCCCCACCCCTATGGGGTCCCAATTCCAAAAAAATATTATCCATAAGGTTAACATATAATAAAAATTGGTTCACAACTTATGCTGGGGCAATCAACCACGGGAGATCTGATGTACTACAGACTGAAAATCTTTAAATCTTCCATTACAGGCATTGAATTGACTTACACAGGGGTCTTAGAATGCAGGATAATGCAGCATATAGGCCTCAGGTTAAAAAGTATTCCCTTGAAAGCACCAACCCACAGGCGCCTACTTGTTGAGCCACTGCGTTTACAATCCTCAATAAATTACTATCATTATTGCAGTGGCGGAGCCAGGTTGACGTCCCAAAGAGGTGGGGGGGGGGGGGGGGGGGGGGGGGGAA